CTTGTTTTTTTTGAGACAGGGTTTCTCTGTGAAACAGTCCTGGCTATCCCGGAACTTGCTTTGTAGACCAGGCTGGCTGCAAACTCACAGAGATCTGTCTGCCTTTCCAGAATGTTGGGAAGCGTGCACCACTACAGCCTAGCTCATTATACTCTTTTTTTTTTTTTTTTTTTTTTTTGGTTTTTCGAGACAGGGTTTCTCTGTGGCTTTGGAGCCTGTCCTGGAACTAGCTCTGTAGACCAGGCTGGTCTTGAACTCACAGAGATCCACCTGCCTCTGCCTCCCGAGTGCTGGGATTAAAGGCGTGCGCCACCATCGCCCAGCTCTCATTTTACTCTTTTAAGATTCCTGTTTGACTAATGTATTTATTCATTAGGTACTGTTGACCATTTTTTTAAAAGATTTATTTATTTATGATGTTAACAGCATTCTCCCGGCACAGCATTCTGTCTGCTTGTATGTCTGCCCGCCAGGAGAGGGCACCAGATCTTGTTACATATGGTTGTGAGCCACCATGTGAGTGCTGGGAATTGAACTCTGGACCTCTAGAAGAGCAGCCAATGCTCTTAAACTCTGAGCCATCTCTCCAGCCCTTGTTGACCATTTTTTGTCTTAGTTTTTGGGACAAGGGCCTTGACACAGAGACCAGGCTGGCTTAGATCTCACTATGTAGCCCAAACTGGCCTTGGTCTCCAGATACTCTTGCCTTGGCCGCTCAAGGGCTGGGATTATAAACAATCACCACACTTGCTGATGACCATTTTCTACATATGCCAGGCACTGCTTAAGAGCTGTCATATATGAGAGATAAACAACAGGACAGCTAATAAATGGTAAGACAGTGGACTGTATTGGTTGGTGCACATCTTTAATCCTTGAATTCCAGCACTCAGGAGGCAGAAGCAGGCAGATTTAGACCAGACTGGTCTATAGAGAGTTCTAGGACAACCAGGGCTACACAAAGAAATCTTGTCGCAAAAACCCAAAAGAGTAATAGTACTAATGATACTGTAAAATAATTTCAAATAGTGCAGGTGCTGTGAAGAATCAGAAAAGCTGTATAGTGTGACTAAGCAGAGGCTGGGGGAAAGGCTGAGAGATAACTACGCTGAGACACCGCTCCCCACCATGAAGAAGATGGTAAAGAATTGGATCTAAAATGTTTCAAATATGGAAGAACCAAATTCAATGCAGGGTAGTGATGGCGCACCTTTAATCCCAACATTTGGAAGACAGAGGCAGGCAGGATCTCTGTGAGGTTGAGGCCAGCCTGGTCTACAGAGTCAATTCCAGGACAAAACAAACAAAACTAAATTCAAGACACTGAGGAGATGGGAATGACATTTTAAAAAAAATGATTTATTTATAGAGAATTGTGAGTGCCATCTGGGTGCTCCCCCAAGTCCATCTTCCTTCGCAGTGGGAGGAGACATGATGTTTAGGTTTTATAATGTCCAAGAGTTATGCACAGCTAAACAATTCCAGTTAAGGGGTTAAGTCCTGGCCATCACCGACCCATTTTTCTCTTGACTTCACTCTCTTCAAGGTGGTCTTATAATTTGTCAGAACTGTATGGTTGTGCCCTTCCCATCAAGTACCCCCCAAATTTCCCCTCTACCGCTCCAGATGGCACCAGGCTTTAGCCTTTCCTTCTCCCAGCCTGAGATTCCTTGGAAAAACTACAATTTCTTAGAGTCCATTGTTTGAAAAGACTGGTGGCCAAAGAAAGGGACATATGTCTCATTAGAATAACCTCACTCCTGCCAGATCATTACATAACAACAAATAAACCAAACTAAGACAAACAGGAACAAACACCCTCTCCCCAAATAAACAACTTTTAAGTGAAGGAAAACCACAGAAAAGAGCTTTAAAAAAATATGTGAATGAATGTCTCCTGAGTCACAGGCTACATTTTAAAGGGGCAGGCACAGAGCAAGGCTCCAAATGCCCCAGCAAACAATAGCTGGGGGAGTAGTGAACCGAATGGAGCTTTCAGTGGTTCTAGAATGCCGGAAGAGGTTGATTGACTTTGGGGTTTAAAACCATGCTGAGATACAAGTAGCCTTGGGTAAACACCTCAGCTGAGGCTTCGGAAAGGCAACACCCTAGAAACGAAAGCCACGGACCAGTAGGACAGACACCTTAGGAAGGACCTTGTCCTAGAGTAAAGGGCAAAACTACAATAGATCAGCCATTATATTCTTCAAATATTCTCTAGTGAGATCAAGGTTATCAGTTACTACTTCACATTCTGTGCACAAGAAGAAAACCTTTCCTAGAAAAGAAATATTTTCACCAGGTTTAGATTCTGTTTCTCTCCTGTCCATTGTCATCACTTCCTAACTGTACCTGGGTACAAGCAATTCTTGAGATCTATTGCTTGGCAGGGTCAGGTGTTTTGTGTTTTGAGACACAGTCTCATAGAGCCCAGACTGGCCTCACAAATTCAGTATCCAGTGAAGGAGGTCCTGAACTCCTCAATCCTCTTGGGTCCACCTCCCAAGTACTAGGATTGCAGGTGGGCATTTACCACACCTGGATTTGAACAATCAATTTTTAGGCCACATTTAACAGAAAAGACTTGAAGCTGGGCGGTGGTGGTGCACGCCTTTAATCCCAGCACTCAGGAAGCAGAGGCAGGAGGATCTCTGTGAGTTTGAGGCCAGCCTGGTCTAGAGCAAGTTCCAGGACAAGCTTCAAAGCTACAGAGAAGAGGGGAGCAAGAGGGAAATGGGAGGAGGTGGAAATTTTTAATTAAATAATAATAATTATAAAAAGCTACAGAGAAACTATCTTGAAAAACAAACAAAACAGAGAGAGAGGGAGGAAGGGAGGGAGGAGAGGAAAGGAAGGAGGGAGGTAGGTAGGTAGGGAGGAAGGGGAGGGAAAGAGGGAGGGAAGGAGGGAGGGAAGGAAAGTGGGAAGGAGGGAGGGAGGGAAGGAAGGAGGGAGGGAAGGAAGGTGGGAGGGTGGGAGGGAGAGGGAGCGAAGACTCCTGTCACTTCTACTACAAAGCTGAGCAGATCTCTTCTGAAGGCGTCAATTCTAATGCTGATAGCATTTAAGTCAGACGCTAGGGTCTCTAAGCAGCAAGAGTTTGAAGGTATAGCAATTTTACTTTTTTTTTTAAATTTTACTTTTTTGTAGACAAGCTCTTACTGTATAATCTAGGCAGTCAGGATGCTCAGAGCTTCTAATTATAACTTTAATTGTAACCTTATCCAATTGTTGGCAATGCAGAGCTTTGCCTAGATAGAGCTCCAAGTCTATTTAACTGTTTTTTTTTTTCTAATCCTATTTCCCCCTCTATGTTCATCATTTTCTCTATCTAATTCAGATGTAGTTGTGGCCCACACCGAGCCTCTAGGTCAGTCTTTCTGCCTAGTGTTCACTGTTGGATAAATAGTTCCTCAACAATGTATACAGCTGTTGTAATTTTCAGCACAAAGGTTATCTGCCTACATTGTCCTGGAGACAGAAACCTGAGTCAAAACAAGCTTTTACATTTTACCATTTCAAATTTTAAAAAGATTTCTACTTGCGCTTTGCCTGATGTTATGTATGTGCACTGCATGCTTGCCCAGCGTACTTGGAGATCAGAAGGCACTGGATTCCCTGGAACTCTAGTTAGGGATAGTTGGGGGGTCATAGGAACTGGACCCAGATCCTCTCCAAGCAGCAAGGGCCTTCTCTCCAGCACTCCCAGGTTTTAAATAGTCTAAGTAGGGTGGAAGAAGCAGGACACGTAAAGCTGAAGCCCCATGTGCATGCCATTTCCTTTGGTGCGGGGCGGGGCGGGGCGGGGGCGGGGGGGAGGGGACTCACAAGGTATTTCTCTCCATGCTTACCTTGAACTTGAGATCCTCCTGCACAGCCTCTAGAATGCTGGCGTGCCTGGTTTTAATTTCATTATAATTTTAAAACTATCTCTTCCTTGAAGATAATGAGTAATTCAAATTCTTTATCCATTAGGAATGTACTTTGTACTCCTTTAATCCCAGTACTTGGGAGACAGAGGTAGGTGGATCTCTCCTAGTTCAAGGCCAGTCTGGTCCACGTAGGTAGGTAGCTATGTGGTGAGTTCCAGACCAGCCAGGGTAGATACACAATAACTTAAAAAGCAAAAATACTATTAGAAATCTTAGCAATTGGGATTTATTTCCACCTCAGAACTCGCTTTCCTTCAAACACTTGGCTTTGTAATAACAGTATTGTTATACCTTTAGATTCTTCTTGGAACCCAGTACTTTTATTTGTTGCTCAACTGGAAGACATTTCCAGCTTTTCCAGTCTGCAGAGTATGTTTGTACCTACAGAATCCTGATCTGAACAGAACAGACAATCTGGACAAGAGGCTAGAACTGTGCTGAGTGGGTGGAACCCAAGGGCCTATACATGCTCATCACTAATAGCCATCCAAGTATTGACAGCTAATTTAAAAAAATAAATTGCTTCCATCCTTCCTCAATTGAGCAGTAACAGGAAGCCGGCAAGCACGAAAGTCTGAGGAGTACATCCTTACTATAAAACTCAATCTGGCCTGAAACTTGTGATCCTCCAGCCTCAGATTCCGGAGTGCTGGGATTACAGGTATGTGTTCCCAAACTGGCTGATTGAAGAGGCAAATGCAGCTTCCAATTAGCAACGGCAAAAAAGAACTGGCAGCTGGAGCCTTACCAGTTTAGATAAAATATTTACATTGGGCACAGTGGAACACACCTGCAAGTACATCTGTGTGCTCGGCAGATAAAGGTAGACGGAAGGTCAGTTTTTCCTACGTGGGGAAAGTCCAGCCTGGGCTACAAGAGACTCTGCTTCAGACAAATAAATTAATAGACAGTAAATTGAATGCTTACTTCAGGTCTAGTGGATCATCCTGTGTAACTCAAATCCAGTACTGGACCCGATAGAGAATATACTAGAGTAGGACCATGCCCCTCCCTCTCCCAAGTGGTAGGTAGGTATACTCTAGTAGACACAGGCACAAGACAGTGAAGTTGATGTTATCCATGGCAAATCCTTTATTTTACTAACATCACAACAAACATAGAAACACAGCAAATATTCAGAAATTCCAAAGTATTATGATAGTATTTAAAAACAAACGTCCTGCTGGTGCTAAGATTAGAGTCATGGTCTCGAGATGAAGGTTCCTGCAAGTAGGGGTGGGAAGGGGAAGGTTTTCTTTAGAGAATCAGTCCATCATGTGAATCTGCTTCCAAATCACAGATTTGGGTTTCTGATTCAGCTCAGCAGTAGAGCAAAAACTCAACAACTGTGAGGCCCTGGCCAAATTTATTGTGGAAATGCAAAATGTGGCAAAGCTTGATATTTATTTTAGCTTCTGTGGTAGTAACCTTAACCAGTCAGCCTTAGTTAAACATTCTTCAAGGCAAGTCAAATTCTAACCCTGCCCCACACCAACCTGACACCCGGCGCTTTCTCTGTGGCCATCTGCTGAAGTTCCCCGAGTTCTATCTAATTTCAGTTCTATCCTGCCCCTGAAGCTCCAGGTCTAGGCAACTACTTTTAAAAGCGTGGGAGAGAGGGGGGCTTTTTCCCCAAGCTGTGGAAGCCGACATCTTTAAAGCTTTAAAATTAAAACAAAGCCAAAAACTCCTAAGTATCTTCAAATAGAAGGTTTCATTGAATACATATAGCCACAACTTGGAACTCTAGGTTAATTAACCTTAATAGTTCCCTGCTGGTAATAAAGATCCAAAACAGCTCCGGAGTTTGACACGTAGGACAGAACGCTTACTAAAAAGGACAGGATAGTGCCTCCCCAACAAATATTTGAGGCAACCGGCCATGGTGTCTGTGCCTTGAGACAAGGTGTTCTAGAGGCAGTGGTTTAATGGTGTAGCCTAAGGCGAAGCAGACAAATGTAACCTGAGCATAACTCTAAATGCTGGACAGTTCAGGACCAGCAGAATGCAAGTTCTAAGTGTCTTCCTTTCTGCCATCCACAGGTCCAGGTCTACTACATTCCTGAGAATAATCACTTTATTAACAAACAACACTTGCAGAAATGATTGGAAAGCAAATCAAAGGAACTTAGAATCGGACATTTCACACACACAGGAAAGGAAGCCTTTACCCGGGAACTGTATGTCCTTAAGCACTGGCGTGGTGGGGAATAAAAACCTCTAAGGATTCTAAGCTAACTAGAAAAAGTTAAGTCTTTCACAATTGCCCCAACAACTGGTCCTTTTCTTTACCTCCCACAATGCAATGAACTGAATGCACACAAGCTCTAGCCATTGGCTCTACATACAGCTAGCTCATCAGCCACCTCCATCACTGGACTTGTCAACATTCTAGAAAGCATGTACACCTGGAATGTAACTGTTGTTGATGCAACACATACCGCATGAGAAGTACCAAACGGGGGGGGGGGGGGGGGGGGGGGGGGGGGGGGGGGGGGGGGGGGGGGGGGGCAACAGTGCAGAGGTGTGAGTAAGATCAAGTTACTAAAAGGTTGGGCATTCAAATTCTACCCAAGGCAATTCAGGCCTGTTGGGTATCACAAGCCCCAAAATGTTGTGGATATTCAGATCCTAAATAACAGCTGAGAGGACTATAAGATCTGCAGAATTTAAATGAAGAATGGTCCAGGCAAGATTCACAAAGGTACTCTTTTGGTGCAAATAGCATACACAATCTTAGTGTCTCTGTGACCTAGAATCACACTAATCCAAATGAACCCATGATCCAAAAGTTCTAGTTACGGCATATAAACAGGTATTTTGTTCAGGGCTACTAGGTGCTAAGAATAATACTTAACATTAACTAGCAGCAAGACTGGAGGGTCTCAAGATGCTCACTCCCATTTATAAAAATGGACATCCTTCTCAGTTAAGGTGGCCAAATAATTGCTCTGATTTGCTTCAAATGGGCAGATGTCCAAGACAGGTTGATCAGTCTTCAAGTCCTGCAGCAACGAGCCACTGCCAGCATTCCACAGCTTAAAAAGGAAGCAGAAATAGAAGTCAGCAGTTAGTCAGCCCAGGTGGGAACTGTCTCTAACCTTAACACTGTTCAAAACTAGCACACCTTAAGTTGGTTTGAAAAGCAAGTCAAGGACTCATTTCTTTCATCTATGTGCCAGAAGTCTTCTAAATATTGTCTCCTCTAGAAACAAAAGAGTCAACTGAGAAAAGACCACTGTCTCTATCTTCATAGAACTTATATTAAAAAAATATTTATTTTAATTATGTGTGTCTATGTGGGATACTTGTAGAAGAAGGTAGATCTCCTGGAGCTGGAATTACAGCTGTCTGTGAGCCTTCCAATTTCGGTGTTGGGAACCAATCTTGGATCCTTGGATCCTCCTTGAATGCTGAGCAATTTCTCCAGCCGTGGAACATACATTCTAGCAAGTGTTTTCTTTTCTAGAACATTTATTACAAGAAACTTGTAAAGTATCTAAAATAGTGCCGGTGAGGTGGCTCAGTAAGAAAAGACACTTGCCATGCAAGCCTAATGAGTTAGATGTCTAGAACCGAGGTAAAGGTGGAAGGAAAACCAAGTCTACAAAGTTGTTCTCTGACCTGCACCTGTGCACTGTAGCACATACTCACCACCCCTAACATCATACACTGAAGTTTTTAAAACTTGCGGTATGCCAGACATGCCTTGAACTCCAGCATTCTGAAGGTAGAGACAAGTTTGAGGCCAGCAAGATCTACATAGTGAGTATACAATGGCTCAAAAAATTTTATTGAAATAACAAAATGGGTATAATAAACTACCATCAGACTCTCCCTCTCTCTTGAGAAAGGGTCTGTGCAGCTCTGGCTGGCCTGAAATTCACACTTGACGTGTTACTAAATAAGTCAACTTCCTATTAAACTTCAACGTTTTAGCAATTCTGTTTTCTTCCCTTTACTTGTACTATTACTTCACACTGTTTAATACCTGGTGTAATCATTACATACCAACGACAGTTTTGAGCGTTTATGTGTATATATTTATATATGCCCCACATGTCATTCTGGAAACCACAGGTGTCTTCTGGTATTGCTCTCTGCCTCATTACCTTTAGACTGGAGTAGCGGTGCTTGAAACTGACTCCCTTGGATACGCCAGGAGAGTGCCTTACCACTGTGCTAGGTCTAGGCCACAAACCCCAAACTATTTTTAAATATAAAATAAAAATAGGCTTACCAGGACAGACTTTGATGCTTCATCCCCAGTACACACTAGGACATTACCATCATTCTCTGGGCTTTGGAAGATGGCATTTTTGGTCAATAGTTTGCAAGTGGGTCCCCCAAGGAATGTTTGCACAGGAAGGCAGGAACAGACGGGCTCTCCAGCATCATCTAGTTTGTAAGACATCTCCATCAGCACAGTTCGCATGGTGTTATGGCTTTTATCTATGAGACAGAGAAATAAGCGTTACCTCATGGAGATGATACAAAAGAAATTAACTAGGTACTGGAACCTCACTTACAACCGAGCTAGGCAAAAAAAGGTAAATACATTAAACCCATGAGACCTATATAGCAAATACAACAACACAGCACCAATGAAACTCAGGAGCCTGGCTAGGAAAAAGGAAGTTATCTTCAAAAGGTTTTTCCTACCCGAGAAACAACTCTAGAAATATACTGGTTTTGAATAATCACTGTATCTTCTGAGACCTCCTGGGGAACTGATTCTTCAGGTATTCTAATGGCATTTTTCCTTCTTCCACTGAGGACTCCATTAGCTATAGCAAGTAGTTACATCTAAAGTACTTCTGAATGACAGATAAAAGCTGGGAAACGAAGTGGGACCCCCGCCTTCAAGCTTTCTTTTTTTTCATTGGAGTTTTGCCTGCACATATGTCCATGTAAGGGTGTTGGGTTCCCTAGAACTGTAGTTATAGACAATTGTGAGTCACCACGTAGGTCCTGGGAATTGAATCCACGTCCTCCAGAAGAGCAGCCAGTGTTTAACTGCTGGGACATCTTCCCAGCCCCAACCCCTAAGCTTTCTATGGAAGTCACAGCATGATTTGGTAAAAAGCCAAAAGGTCAGGAGCGGCAACTGAAACAGTGTCCCAGATAAAGCAAATGTGCAGTGATGAGATCAAGTCACAACCAGGCGATCTGATGGACAACTTGACATATCTACCTTGAAACCCATTTTTAGGTCTGACTTAAAATCTGTGCACACAGAGGCTTCTCCATTAGCCAGGCATGGTGAACTAACAAGTCAATAATTCTAGCTCTTTAGAGGCTGAGGCTGAAGTTTGAGGTTGGCCAGTGCCAGAGAACCAGGAGTACACAGCAAAACTGTCTCAAAAATAAGATAAAATAAAATAAAAAAATAAAAAATCCCAAGTGGTTAGTTGTTTGCTATATATTCTCACTAAAACTCAACACATTCCAAAACTGTTGATCACAAATAAAGCACAATGGTCAACATCAGTCATAGAATAAGCTTCCCTATTCAAGTTTTCTTTAAATTAGCCAATCCCCCCCCCCCCAGAAATTTTAAGGAACAATGTCCATAAGCCTTAATAAAGACAGTAGTCCTACAAGCTCTTTTCTTCCTCTGTACCCACTGAGATGGCTCCGCCTCTTCCCAAGAGCCCTAAAAGCAGGGCTCCTTTCCTTGGAGCTTTAAGTAGTAAACTTCCTTTTGTTATTTAATGAGTTTTGCTGTGCTGCTTTTGTGTCTCATCTGAACCTGTCTTCTGATCTGGTTGGGGCTCTCCCAGACAACAGCTGTCTAGGTAGGAATAAATTGGACTCAGACCAAGTAAGAGCCACAACAAAGGTGTCCACCAGTATAAACAAATTTCCTGTGAGAGACACCCAGTTACAGGCCAGAATTAAGATACTAGGTGCTTGTCAAGACAAAGATTGAAAGGCGCACCATAACCAACCACTACTAAATATCCAGAATCCCATTAGAGCAGGGCTAGAATTCATAGCCAGAGCCATTCTCTTGAGACCTCAAGTCCAAGTTAAAAAGGCAAACCCTTACCAAAATGACCATCAGCATGGTTCATCAGGAATACAGTTTTTGTTTGTTTTGTTTTGAAGGCGAGGCAGTGGAGTTCAGATGCCTAGATACTCCCATAAAACCATGGCTGTCAATCTTAACTTCGCTGGACCCAAATATGGAACAACTAAAAACCTGATTGGGCATTAGGCTGTTTCCACCTGGATCTGATGTGAGGGGCAAAGGAAAGTGGTCTGAAGGTGAATGCAATGGACTCCAGAAGCACATGGCGGAAAGTATTCAAATGCATGTCAGGGAAGCAGACTCTATGGAGGAAATGGGAGCCATCATCTTCACTGTAGCACCAAGAGCGGCAATACAACAAGCCTGTCAGCCTTAGAGGTGTTTACCAAAACCACTCAAAGGAATGTCTTCTTTCCTGTACAAATCCACATCCCTGGCCCACTCCCAACAAAACAGCAGGTCCCTGAGAACTTCAGAACTCACCAGGCCTGTAAGTCACGAGACAGTGTCGGGTGCTGCTCTCTGTCTGGAAGTCTACAAAGCCCCCTGGCTCCAAGGAAAGCACATGAGGCTTATGAGAAAAGTCTGTTTTTAACTCCCAGAAGGAGGCATTCTCCAGGGTTCCAGCCAGCACCCCACCATAAGGAAATGCAGTCACAGCAGCTCTGGGTAAGTATGACAGGGACACCAAAGGACATCTGAAGGCAAAAAAGAAAACTATGACACACACTCCAAATCCAATACTGTGCTCCAGACCTCATGACCAGGAGACCTGGGCCACATTTCAGTCTCAATAGAAATCAAACAGAAGGGTGACTGTCTTCCTGCACCCTTTATTTTATTTTTGGTTTTTTGAGACAGGGTTTCTCTGTAGTTTTGGAGCCTGTCCTGGAATTAGCTCTTGTATACCAGGCTGGCCTGGAACTCACAGAGAATCGCCTGCCTTTGCTTCCTGAGTGCTGGGATTAAAGGCGGGTGCCACCACCACCCAGCTTCCTGCACCCTTTAAAAATAATTAGCTATCTTTATAGGAGAAAGAAAAAGGAAATACACATAACATTCTGTATCTACTTTCCACAGGATACATGATACACTTAAAAAGGAAAAAAAGCGCACTGTAACAAAAAGACTTTACTCAGAAAAGATGATTTTTCTAGACTTCTCACCATAAACTCGTAATAACTCTTCCGCCTCAACCCGCTAAGCTCTGGAATGGTAAGTATAAGCCACCAGCACTGGTTAGATTCTTTTCTTTTTAAAAGAAAGGGTTTCTTTTGTATATCCCTGACTATCCTGGAACTTTCTCTGGAACATGTTAGTCTCCAACTCAGAGACTGACCTGTTTCTGCCTCCTGATGCTAGGTTGTATTAAAGATGTGCCCTGCCCCCCATGCCTGGCTTTGGTTAGATTTTCTAAATTTCTACCTGTAAGTTTATGAACAATACTATATGCTAAAAATCCTTTCACAGGGCTGGAGAGATGGCTCAGAGGTTAAGAGCACTGGCTGCTCTTCCAGAGGTCCTGAGTTCAATTCCCAGCAACCACATGGTGGCTCACAACCATCTGTACTGAGATCTGGCGCCCACCTCTGGCATGCGGACATACATCGAGGCAGAATGTTGTATACATAATAAATAAATAAATCTTTAAAAAAAAAATCCTTTCATAGATACCAACCTACAGGCTGTGTTCCTATGATTTTAATGCCGAAGTTACCAAAAAAACACTTTATTTTGGTATTTCAAGACAGGGTTTCTCTGTGTAGCTCTGACTGTCTAAAATTCACTCTGTAAATCAGGTTGGTCTTCATCTCAGAGATCTTCCTGCCTCCCAAGCGCTTGGATTAAAGGTGTACCACACTACCACCCCTACCTCAAATTCTATTGATTCTGAAGTGGTGAAAGCACCAGAGCTTAGATTGGTGGTCAATTGCTGAGACACTCAGAGGAATGAACTAATACAGTTAACAATCTAAAAAGAATGCTGTGATCTACATAAAAACAAGTTTTTCCTACCTGGCTTTTTGAGGAACTAACTCCTGTATATAGGCATTTGTGTTCCGTAGGTCATATATCAGAATTGAACCATTGGCCAGTCCAGCATAGATGTAATTGTTTTCATCAAGACACCAGCAACAGCTCCAAACAGGACGTCCAGTATTATAAGTCTGCACAACAGTATTTGTTTCTAGGCTGTGGAGTTAAGAGATTTTACCACTATACATTAAGAAAACCATGTATACAATGGTGATGTTTAATAATAAGACATTTAATAAAGGAATATTTATTGAGAACTTATCTGCACCCTAAACTATCTGGATTTCATTATTTCCTCTGGGAATTGCATACTTCTCAATTCCCAAACACTCCTGCTTTCTGGTCTGCAAACTTAATTCTTGAGTTACAATGAAATGAAAGGGTAAACTGAAGGAATACACAAATGATACAATCCCTTCTCTACTGAATTTTCTCTATAGTTAACTGTCACACAAATATCAGTAAGCAATACAAGAAAGTAGAAAATATAAGGAAAACCAAAAATTAGGTCTGGAGAGATGGCTCAGAGGTTAAGAGCACTGACTGCTCTTCTAGAGGTCCTGAGTTCAATTCCCAGTAACCACATGGTGGCTCACAGCCATCTGTAATGAGATCTGGTGCCCTCTTCTGGTCAGCTAGCATACAGACAGACAGAACACTGTATACATAATAAATAAATCTTAAAAAAAAAAAAAAACCCAAAAAACAAAAATTATAATTCAGCAGCCCAGGAGTAGTCATTAATAACACTGTGTAAGAAGAGCACCCCAACACACATGCTTCCTGGGGTGGTAGACAATGAACCTAGGGATTAATGCACGGTAGGCAAGCATATCTTCAGTCTGTCCCTGCTTTGAGATAGGGTCTCACCATGCAGCCCTGGCAGGTCTAGAACTTGCTACGTCAAGATGTATGCCATCATGTCTGCCCCTTTTAATTATTTATTTTTTAATTATGAAATTATTTTTTTAATACATATGGGGGTTTTGCCCACATGTAAGTCTGTGTACCCTGGGGGGGGGCAGAAGTAGTTTCAGATCTAGAACTGGAGTAAAGACAGTTGTAAGCTGCCATGTGGGAGCTGGGAACTGAACCTGGGACCTCTGGAAAAGCAGTCTGTGTTTGTAACTACCAAGTCATCTCTCTAGCACACCCTCACCCATTTTTACAAGATTTTATTGGGAGGCTGAAGAGTTGGCTCAGCAGTTAGGAACATTTGCTGTTCTCCTGTTCCAGAGGACCCGATATCCTATTCTGGCCTCTGAAGGCCCTGCATTCTGGTGGTGCACAGTCATCCATCAGGGCAAAACACCCACACGCACATGAATAAAAGTAAGTTTTTTTTCTAAATGAAATTCTAAAGAATTAGAACAATCCAATCTTTGGTGCAGACCTGAAACACCAGCTATTCAAAAGGTAGTGGTGGCACACACCTTTAATCCCAGCACTCCAGAGGCAGAGGCAGGCAGATCTCTAGGAGTATAAGACCAGTCTAGTCTGCCAGGCAGTGGTGGCACAAGCCTTTAATCCCAGCACTAGGGAGACAGAGGCAGGCGGATCTCTGTGAGTTCGAGACCAGAGCTACTTCCAGGACAGGCTCCAAAGCCACAGAGAAACCCTGTCTCGAAAAACCAAAAAAAAAAAAAAAAAAAGACCAGCCTAGTCTACAGCGTGAGTTCCAGAATAGTTAGGGCTATTATACAGAGAAATCCTGTCTCAACTCCCACACCCAAAAGGTGAGGAAGGACAATTCCAAAGTCAAGGCTAGCCTAGGTCAATTATAGTAAAAAATGATATAGTAAAAATTAAAAAAAAAAATAGACAGTGGTGCCATGACAGAATGTTTGTGTAGAATATTCCAGGCCCAAAGTCACAAAAACTAACTCAGGCCGTTATACATTAACTTAGTGACTACTATGCCACTTTTATTTTTTCTACCGCACTCCTCATCTTAGGCTGACCTTGAGTCCCAATCCTCCTGTCTCCACCTTTCAGGTGCTGGATTAGAAGCTTCTCCTATCATACCCCACTTGATGCTTGCTTTTCTGTTTTAGACAAGTTCTAACTCTGTAGTTCAAGTTGTCCTGGAATTCTCTATGTAGCCCAGGCTGGCCTCAAACACATGGTAACCATCATGCCTCTTAGGATCCCAAGTGCTAGGATTACAGGGGTCAATCACCACACAGGATTTATAGACTTTTATTTTATTTATTTTTTTCAAAACAGGGTTTCTCTGTGTAGCTTTGGAGCCTATCCTGGAAATCATTCTGTTGACCAGGCTGGCCTCAAACTAACAGATCTGCCTGCCTCTGTTCCTGTCCCCTGAGGGCTAGGATTAAAGACACGTGACACCACTGCCTGGCTATTCATTTGTTTATTTTGAGACAGTTTCTCTATATAGTTGTCTATATAGTTCCGGCTGTCCCGGAACTCATTATGCCTAAAACTCAGAGATCTGCCTGCCTGTCTCTTAGGCACTAGGATAAAAGGTATGCACCTGTTGCTTACTTTTTTTTAAATATTTATTTATTTACTATACAATATTCTGTCTGCGTGTATGCCTGCAGGCCAGAAGAGGGCACCAGACCCCATTACAGATGGTTGTGAGCCACCATGTGGTTGCTGGGAATTGAACTCAGGACCTTTGGAAGAGCAGGCAATGCTCTTAACCACTGAGCCATCTCTCCAGCCCCCGCTTATATACTTTTAAAAGGAGACAACGGCTCAGATAAATAAGAGAACTAAGACTAATTTGATGCACAGCGGCCCAGGCCAATCTTACGATCACTTACCTGGTCAGTTTAATAGTGTTGTCAAAGGAAGCGGAGAGCAGAAGGCCTTTGGATCGACTGCTGAAAGCTAGTCCACGGATCTGCTTGCTATGCATAGGAATGTACTGACTGCTTTTCATGTTGGCAGTGCTCAACATCTTAACACCAAAGCCTACCAAGAAGAGAATTGAAAAAAGGCATATAAAAGTAAATTAAGGCAAAATCTATCTTTTTTTGTTTGTTTGTTTGTTTTTGTTTTTCGAGACAGGGTTTCTCTGTGGTTTTGGAGCCTGTCCTGGAACTAGCTCTGTAGACCAGGCTGGTCTCGAACTCACAGAGATCCACCTGCCTCTGCCACCCAAGTGCTGGGATTAAAGGCAGGCACCACCACCACCCTTTTTAAAGTAATCTTTTCTTACCTTTCTTGGAATCCAAGTCCCTAGAAAACAGCTCAAACAATGAAAAGGAATATTCTGTAGATTTATACCCCCTCCTTTTGAGACAGTTTCTCTGTGTACCCTGGCACCTGGGAGGCAGAGACAGGTGGGTCTCTTTGAGTTCGAGGTCAGCCTGGTCTGCAGAGTTCCAGGACAGCTGACAGCTAGGGCTACACACAGAAAAACCCTTGTCTCTAGTGGGGGGAAAACATTATTGAAAGTTTGAGGTCAGCCTGGTCTAAATAACAAGACCCAGTCTCAAATAGCCAAAACACAGTTGTTTAGACAAACATCAAACATATTTTACCTATAGGAGATGTAAGATATATATGAGCAATAAAGAACAAAGACAAAAGGCTATAGAAACTAAGATGACAATTTTTTTTTTTTTGAGACAGGATTTCTCTGTATCTTTGGAGCCTGTCCTGGAACTAGCTCTTGTAGACCAGGCTAGTCTCAAACTCACAGAGATCCGCCTGTCTTTGCCTCCAGAGTGCTGGGATTAAAGGCTTGCGCCACCACCAAACTGACAGATGACAAGTTTTTTTTTTTTTTAAAGATTTATTTTACTTTATGAGTATGGGTGCCTTGCATGCGTGTATGCATGTGTACCATATGCATGTCTGGTGCCCACAGAGGTCAGAAGAGGGCATCAGATCCCCTAGCACTGGGGTTAGGGACAGTTGTAAGCCACCATGTGGGTGCTGGGATCTAAACTGAGCAGCCAGTGCGCTTAGCCAGTCATCTCTCCAGCCCTGTCAAGTTTTATTTCTAATATTTATTTTATATTTATGCTTTGCCTGCATGTGTGAGGTGTACCATATACATGCCTGGTGCCCTTGGAGGCCAGAAAAAGGGTGCCAGATCCCCGGAACGGGAGTTACAAGTTATGATGGTCGTGGCTTGCCACAATGGTGGCTGGAAATTGAACTTGGGAAGAAGAATTAATGAAATTTACTACTCTTAATTGTCTCTCCAGTCCCACCAGTCCTGTCCCAGCTTTTTAATGTGTGTTTGTCTCTGTGTGCTGTGTGGGTATATGCACACAGATATGGGTGCCCATGGAAGTCAGAAGAAGGCAATAAATTCCCTGGATCTGGAACCAATTTTGTGGTTTTTTTTTTTTTTTTGTTCTCGAGACAGGTTTTTTTTTTTTTGTAGCTTTGGAGCCTTGAGCTCGCTTTGTAGACCAGGCTGGCCTCAAACTCACAAATATCCACCTGTCTCTGCTTCCCACGTACTAGAATGAAAGGCATGTGCCAGTACTGTCAGGCCTGGAACTGAAGTGATAGGTGGTTGTGAGACACCTAACATGGGTGCTAAGCTTTGAATTATGGAACTCCAAAAGAGTACGACTTTCCTGCCTGAAAGAGCAGCAAGTGCTCTTAACCACCGAGTTATCTCTTCAGCTCCCCATTAATATATACTAATAAAATGACTATTACAGTCCTCAAATTCTCTTATTTGCAATTCAAAATACCAAATTTTGTTTAAATTTGAATTTGCTGAACATTCAAATGAATTGGTACAGTAACCAACACGGAATATTCTCTTTGGACGATACTGGTGACCATGTATCTTCTTCCTCACATTGATATGACTACTGGTTATTTCTACATTCTTTTTTTTTTTTAACTTTTTTTTTTTTTTAAATGTTCATTGGTGTAAAGGTGTCAGCTCCCAGGGAGCTGAAGCTACTGGCAGTTGTGAGCTGCCATGTGGGTACTAGGAATTGAACCCGGGTCCTCTGGAAGAGCAGCCAGTGGTCTTAACCGTTGACCTATCTCTCCAACTCCTATTTCTACATTCTTGACAAATGAATTTGCAAAATAAAAGCAACAGCCATGAAAGAATTTTTTAAAGAAAAACAGCCATACTACTTGTACTATTTGTAGCTAAAATAGACATTTTCTGTTTGTCTGAAGCAGGATCTCACTACATAGACCACAGTGGCCTCAAACTTCTGCCTCAAGCCCCTGAATTCTAAGACAATTGATGTGTGCGTGTGTGTGTCAGTAGACCCAGCTATGAAAGACATGTTTTTTTTGTTTGTTCTGAGACAGGGTCTCTATGTAGTCCTGGCTTTCCTGGAACTTGCTGTGTAGAATAGGCTGGCCTGGCCCTCAGAGATCTGTCTGCACCTGCCTCTCAGGTACTGGGATTAATGGCTGTGCCACTGTGAAAGATTATCATTGAGGCACCCAAAGCACCTGCATTCAGTTAATAGGGAACTGACAGAGAAAAGTGAGTTGATTGATAGCCTGTTATCAGTGTTTAACCACCACTGAGCCCAAGATTCTTCAAAAAGGGAAGAGAAGCAAGTAGTATCTACTCATGAATACAAAAGATGAGTTTCTGAATTCTTTACCTGGCAAGAAAGAAGACTGAGGAGACGGTTGTGATACCACCAGGCAGCTCAAAGCATCACAATATGCCATAATTCGGCAGTTTCCTGTCTGAGATACTGCAAAGGTCTTTTGGAAGATGTATTTATGCTGGTTCCGGCGGGAGGGCAAGCATTTCTTGCAAAGTGCTTGGGAGCCCTTGCGCTGCTGCATTTGATTCTGATGCTGCATAACAAAGGCTTCTAAGTCCTACAAGGAAAGACTTTGTAAATGAAAGATTTTATTTTCCCTCTCAAAAATGTTTTTCTTTATTTTTACTTATATGCACTGATGTTTAGTCTGCATGTATGTCTGTATCAGAGAGTCAGGTACCCTGGAACTGGAGTTAGACACTTATGAGCTGCCATGTGTGTGCTAAGAATTTAACCTAGGTTCTCCCTAGCCAGCGTTCTTAACAACTCAGTCATCTCTCCAGGTTCCAAGAATGAATTCTTGATTGGATAAAAGATTTCTTGCCAATCATAAACACGTTACCAAGAATTTCAAGGAACTGCATTTCAATTTCACCAAGTAACTGAAATAAAGAATGCAGAGAATTCCCAAATATCAATAGTCCTTTGTGGTTGCTCTATGTCTGAAGTCCTCATAGAATTCACAAGTATGGACTTGGGGCAAATGTCCCATCATTGAGATAAACCTAAGTAATATTTAGATTCCTCTTAAATTGCCTGTGTCTTTAATTCTGATTCCAAATTTCTTTTTTAATTAGAAAGGACAAACTCACCTGGACACGGCTATTGAGTTTGGTGCATTTATCAATGAGGACCTGAAGTTGGAGCCGGCACTGTGCAGATTCTAACTCTGCCTGCTTCCTGAGCATTTGTTCATTCAGTAAGTCACTGGAAGGAAAAAGTCAGGGGCAGCTGAGTTTTAGGAAAAAGACTTTCCAGGATAAGAAGGAACCAAATTGAAGCCATTCTGGATAGAAATTCCATTTTGAATAAGGGGCAAGTAAAGTGTAAGTTCACGACCTCCCCAGATCCTCCTGGGTAACTGGACATCACTAACATCCTGGTTGGCAAGTTGAGACCAGAATGGTGGGCAAATCATCTGGCCATACTTACTTAAAGTAAACCAACCAATGAGAAGAAGATGAGTGTACCAGAGATATGTTCTTAGGAAAGTCCCTGATCCCTGAATCCTGACTGGTGAAAATGTAATTGTAACTTGGCACAGATGTTCATAGTTTTCATGCTGGGGTCGCAGTTCAGCTCCTGCATTCTGGGCCCTAATCAGTAAGTAGTGGCTGGATTTCAATAAATTTTTGTTTTCTGCATTGATTTGGTATTTTCAATTGTATTGGATCCAAGCGGATCCCATAAGAGACATAGTTAAATTCACATTGTAATAAACGCCTTGCTGTAAGTATGCCATGTAAGTATAGTAAAGTAAAAAATGATCTCTCTAGTAGCATGTGGGACTAAACAGTCAGCCCACTGGGGTTTGGAGTTAAAGGAAGCAATAAAAGCCAGAAATTTGACTTACACTATGGAATGGAAACTAAAAATAGCCTAAGAAAATGAGGAAAAGAACTAACTCACCGCTTGAGCTAAAGTAAATTATAAAAGATTGAACCTAAATGTAAAAAAGATTATCTATTGGTGTATCTGTGGCTTGTCCCAAAGATTATCTATTGGTGTATCTGTGGCTTGTCCCAAAGATTATCTATTGGTGTATCTGTGGCTTGTCCCAAAGCATGTGAATTAAGTGACAAATGAACAGAACTAAAACGGCTAAAGCTTAGAAAAATGAAGAAGTTTACATTAAGCAAATTCTAACAAAAAGTCAATTAGAATGAAGGTAAAATGCATGAATAGACATAAAAAAATAACAATATATAATCACAAATTTGCATGTACTTAAGCATAATTTCAAAATATGAAACACAAAAACAAGAACAAAATTCCATGTCACTGATATAGCAAAGAGAAAAAGATATAAAGACTAGAATGACATGGCTCAGAAGTTAACAGAGTGAGACTCTAATTCAAAACAAAGACAACAAAAACACTCTATCAGTGGGCTGGAAAGATGATTCAGCAGTTAAGAGCATTTATTATTCTTTCTTTTTCTGAGACACAGTTTGCTGGAACTCACTCTGTAGACCAGGCTGGCCTCCAACTCACAGAGATTCACTTGCCTCTGCCTCCCAAGTGCTGGGACTAAAGGCGTGCGCCACCACCGCCTGGCGGCATTTACTACTCTTGCACAGACAGGACAGTGTTTAGTTCCCAGGACCCACATGACAGTTCACACTTGCCTGGCACTCTAGTTCCAGGGAATCTGAGGCCCTTTTCTGTCCTTTGAGAACCCCAAGGAAATATATGGTGCACATATATTTGTGCTGACCAAACACCCATGCCGTGCACAATAAAAAAAAAAATCTTTAAAAGGCATGTGGGGGTGGGAAGTTATCTTTGTCTACTAAGAGCAAGGCCATTGTTCTTGGACTATATAACACCTTGGCTCAAAAATGACAAAAAAAAAAAAAAAAAAAAAAAACCCAAAAAACAGGTGATGTACAACATCCTTGATTTAAGACATAGGTAGCTATGAAAAGTTTGTGCAAAAAGATCACAGTATTTAATAAATTACACTACAGCACTTGGTAATCCATGAGAACAGACTTCAGAGTTAAGAGCCAATTTGACAAAATTTTCAAAGATCAGAGCTACACTTTGATCTTTTTTTTTATTTATTTATTAAAGCTTTCTGTCTCTTCCCCACCGCCGCCTCCCCTTCCCCCCCTCCCCCAATCATACACTTTGATCTTAAAGTAGCAGAAACAAGTACAACCACTAGACTGATGTAGCTTCAGAGAAACAAAAACCCACACAGGCTGAGCCTGGCGGCATAGGCCTGTCACTACTATTCAGGTGCTGAAACAATTCCAGGCTTGTTTGGTCTACAGAGTTCAAGGCCAGCCTAGACAACTTAGAGACCATCTCCAACAACAACAAATGCCTCCACAGTTCTTAAACAGCACTTTGGACAGGTTGCCTAGGTAGGTCTCACACAGAACTCATGCTATCTACCATGAGGCAATCTACCTCTCTTCATCTTCAGAAAAGCACAGTGCTTGTTTGCTTAGAACTGACTTCTTTTTAGGAAGGCTCCAAAACAAATTTGGGAAAAAGTTAAGATTTGGTAAAGCTGAGTACAAAGATGACTAATTTTTTTTCTGCTGGCATTTTCATTTTTTTTTTTTTTTTTCCCCTAGGATCCTCCAGAACAGGAGTTACAGACAGTTGTTAGCTGTCATGTAGGTGCTAGGAATTGACCCACGTCCTCTGGAAGAGCAACCAGTGTTCTTAACCATTGAGCCACTCTCCAGCTCCCATGACTGCTTTGTTTTTTCTATCCTTTTCCTTTCTTGTTTTGGGGATGGAGGGTTTTCAGACAGGGTTTCTCTGCAGCCCTGAAACTCACTCTGTAGACCAGGCTGGCCTCAAAATCAGAGATCCACCTGCCTCTGCCTCCTGAATACTGGGATTAAAGGCATGCACCACCATACCTGGCTGCATTTTGAAATTTTTTAATTCTTCCTAAAGAGGCTAGAGTAAATTGTTTTCAAGTCTCAGGATCCATCGATAGTCATGTGGATACTCTGTCTTCACTTTCTGGTGGCACTATGGGTCCAAATCAGGGATTTGTACATTCTAGTCTATCCTAGGCTAACTCTAAACTATATCCCCAGTTTGAACTTTGCTTTTTAAACACAAGTATGCATTTTAATGACTGATTTTTATGGTTTGGGGAACAGGGTTTCACTATATATTGACTTGGACTTGAAATCTTCCAGTCTCTGTCTCCCCAGTGCAGGACTTTGCTCCACGGGGGGAAAATTGTGGAAGCAAATGAAAAAAAAAAAAGGAAAAAAATATGGGGGCTGGAGAGATGGCTCAGCGGTTAAGAGCACTGCCTGCTCTTCCCAAGGTCCTGAGTTCAATTCCCAGCAACCACATGGTGGCTCACAACCATCTGTAATGGGGTCTGGTGCCCTCTTCTGGCCTGTAGGCATACACACAGACAGAATATTGTATACATAATAAATAAATAAATATTAAAAAAAAGGAAAAAAATACTTTACAAAATATAGTCAGAGTGATGTTTTTAGACCTGTGCACTTCAACAATTTTTGCATTGTCTAATACTATACCACATAGATATATCAGTTTATTCAACTAATTAATTTACTTGACCTAGATTATTAACAACAAAAATTGTTTTCATTAAGTAAATCTTTGCAAATACCCTTTTATAAATAATTGCCGCTGGGCAGGGGTGGCGCGCGCCTTTAATCTCAACATTCGGGTGGCAGAGGCAGGTGGATCTCTGAGAGTTCGAGGCCAACCTGGGCTACAGAGTGAGTTCCAGGACAGGCTCCAAAGAAACACAGAGGGGGAAAAAGAATTGCCTGTAGTAGGATAACTATGTATTTGTTAAACATCTGAAAGTAAAGTTTTATCATTGCTGTGACCAAATCCTCAGTAAGAAACAATCTGAGGAAGTATTTATTTGAGCACACAGTATGAGGTAACCCTACAGCACCTGGTGGCTCTACAAAGGCTCGCTTACACATCTGCTAACCCGGAAGTAGACAAGCCAGGCTACAACTTGAGTAAGTTAACTTCTAAGGCCCTCCCTGCCCAGTGAACCATATCTTCCAGCTAATCTTGGCCTCTTAAAGGTTTCACAACCTCCCAAATGGCATCGCCAGCTCTAAGTATTTAGATATTTAACATTCAAACATTATCAGTAAAATGTGAATTAATACATGTCTGCAATTTTCTCAGTGGTGGGTATTTTAAACTTTAGTCTCCTTTTTCTTTCAAGAGACAGGGCCTTTGTAGCACGGCAGTTTGGAACTTGCTAGGCATTTCCCCCACAGATCCCAGGGGTTTGTGGATGCCAGTCAAGAGCTCTACCAGTGAGCTATGTACCCAGTCTTGGCCTTGATCCTCTTGCTTCTATCTCTCATGAACATGTCACCATTTGAAAAACATTAACTGGGGGCTAGAGAGATGGCTCTGTGGTTAAGAGTTCTGACTGCTCTTCCAGAGGACCCAGGTTCAATTCCTACCACCCACATGGCAGTCAACAGCTGTCGGTAACTCCAAGATCTGACACCCTCAGATACACATACATGCAGGCAAAACACCAATGCAAATAAAATAAAAATAAATAAATTATAAAAAAAAAAGAAAGAAAAAACATTAACTATGTGAGAACATGGGTCTTAGCTGGGCACGGTGACATATGCCTTTAATCCTAGTACTTGGGTGGCAGAAGCATGCAGACAGATCTGAGTCTGAGGCCACCTAATCTACATAGTGAGTTCTAGGACAGCCAAGGGTACATATAAGAGCCTGTCTCCAGGAAAACAAACAAACAAACAAAACCAACCCCAAAACAAACAAATAAAAAGATGAGTCTTACTGTGGCCTGGGATTTACTATTTGCTCAGGCTTGTTTTTAATCGCCCACAAATTTTGCATGAGCCTCCAAAGTGTTGAAATTACAGGTGTGGACAACCATGCAAAACCAGATCTTTATTCAAAAGAGTTTTTAATCCCCCAGTGCTAAAATGAAACCCAGGGCCTCGCAATGTTAAGCAAGTGCTTTACCACTAAGCTATACTTCCCAACCTCAGCTTCACATTGCACTTTACTTGTTGGAGACAGGGTCTATGTAGCCATGACTATCCTTGTCTCTATATAGATCAGGACTGGCCTCAAACTCAGGTCTGCCTGCCTCTGCCTCCCGAGTGCTAGAAGTAAAGGTGCCATGATCTCTGGCTTCCAGCCTCACATTTTAATGCTATATAGACAATAAATCATGTAGAATGTGATTATATAAGTACCAGCACCTGAGATTATAACCTCAATGATCTTCAGAAATCCCAAATTAGAGACTAGAAAATGACAGAGTAGTAAGGAAATTAGATAATTTCTTTATCAAATATGCTTTAAAAAGAAGCAAAGAGGGCTGGAGAAATGGCTCAGCGGTTAAGAGCATCGCCTACTCTTCCAAAGGTCCTGAGTTCAATTCCCAGCAACCACATGGTGGCTCACAACCATCTGTAATGAGGTCTGGTGCCCTCTTCTGGCCTGCAGGCAGACACACAGACAGAATATTGTATACATAATAAATAAATAAATAAAAAAAAAAAAAAAAAAAAAGAAGCAAAGAGCACCTCTGGATTGAATGTGCACATCCTCCTAGTTCTGGGAGCAGTCAAAGGAAGGCTTGTACAGGTAACAAAGGGGTCAAATGAGCACCACAAAGAACTGGAGAAGTCTAGCCAGGGGCAATGGTGGTACACACCTTTAATTTTAGCACTGCACAGAGTGAGTTCCAGGACAACAAGGGATATATAGCAAACTGTCTTGAAAACACACAAGCACGCATGGCAGTGGTGGCCCACGCCTTTAACGCCAGCCCTCGGGAGGCTGAGGCAGGTGGATCTCTGTGAGTTTGAGGCCAGCCTGGAAACCCTATATGAAAAAAAAATCACCACCACACACATACATACAAAACCCAAGAAACAAAGAAACAAAATGAAGCAGAGAAACTCTAGGTGGGGTTTTTTTTTTTTTTGTTGTTGTTGTTTTTCGAGACAGGGTTTCTCTGTAGCTTTGAGGCCTGTTCTGGTACTAGCTCTTTTTTTTTTTTTTTTCTCTTCTTTGGAACAGCTCTTGAAGACCAGGCTGGCCTGGAACTCAGATTCGCCTGCCTCTGCCTACCGAGTACAGGGATTAAAGGCGTGTGCCACCACCACCTGGCATCTAGGCAGATTTAAAAATTTTTCCCCTTTCTCATATTTATTTACTGTGTGTTGTATACATACATGTGTGGAAGTCAGTTCTCTCCAGCCACCATTAAGTCCTGGTTATTGAATCTGCTGAGCGAGACTTGGGAGCACGTGCCTTTACCACTACACTATCTCACTCACCCTCACCTACCTTTTCATGCGCTCCTGTTCACTGTTGTCCAAAGCTCTGAGGGTCCGGGCATAAAGAACAACGATGTCACTGTGCTTGGCTTTCTTGTTGCACTAAAGAGTCCAGTGAGACACAATCAGAATGGTTCTAGGGATTCTGACTTAATACAAAGTCCTTGTTTATGTTCCTTACCTGAGGACATTTTCGTGTCTGTCCTTTAAGCCACTTAGAAATGCATCTATATCCAAAGAGATGCCCACAGCGTAACGCTGAGAGCCGATGGTCCCCAGCACTTGTCCACTGTTCCAAACATATTGTGCAAGTTTCCCCTTCTTCATCATCCACAGAAGACAGAACGTCGGGTTTCTGGGGAGACTTCTAGATTAAAGTTGAAATGCAATCAAGTCAGAAACTGCAAAAACAGTGTCGTGTGCAAACTACCAAATAAAACTGCACCTAAATGATATAAACCTACCTGAAAAGCTGCGAAGAATGTTTAACACCTACTAGATACATGTCATTTTTATAAAATACAACCTAACAAAATATACATCATATACTATATACACTATCTACTTCTGGGGGTATGGTGGAACCTTTATACATGCTAAACATGTCTTCTGCCATGAAGTTACATCCCAGAAACACTGATTTTTTTTTAAACTGTTGTTGAGAAAGGGCCTGAATATTGAACCATACTAGCCTCAAATTTAAATTCTCTCCACTTAGCCTTTTGAGTGCTGGGATTACAAGCAGGTAGCATCACCACACCTGGAAAACCTTTTGTTTCCATTCATTCACCCATTATTTCATGTGTGGTAAAGAAGACAACTTTTGGAGTTGTTTCTCTGTCTACCACGTGGATCTCAGGAAGTGCCTTTACCTATCTGGCCTCCTATTATTGATTTAACAAAATTGTTTGAATCTCTATCTTTTCCAATCCAAATAAAGAAAAGCAGTTATTAGTCCAAAGTTACAGAAAGTGAAGTAAAAACATTCTGGAAATCACGATAATCAACATCAGATAGTAGGCAGGCTCTTTTTTACTTTTTGGAAACAGGGTCTTACTATACAGCCTGGACTGACATCATGTGCACTAATGTCGTGCCCCCCCCCCCCATGTATGGCCTTTTCTTCTTTAACTGTTGCTACCCATGTGCATGTGGGCATATATACATAATTTGTATGTATGTACTCATAACACACTATAAACACATCCTGCTTAGTCACATAATGTTACTTTTATGTGTGTTTTCAGGGCTGAAACTGAATTGCTATCCAGGTTATCCACTGGATAACTACTTGGTGTACTCCTCCAGGGCCGACTATCTTTCCCGCTTTCAGCATTCTTCAGTTGCCGTCAGTTCTTTGTCTAGGCTCGTAGCCTCATTCATAGCCTTCCCTTTTCTACATTAGCATTTATTGGTGTCGTCCTTGTTCAGGTCAAGAAGGTTCTTTCTTTTAATTTTCTGCTTTTCAATAGGGTTTCCCTGTGTAACAGCTTTGGCTGTCCTGGAATATACTCTGTAAACCAGAGAGGTGCCTGCCTCTGCCTTCCAAGTGCTGGGATTAAAGACATGTGTCCAGCCCAAGCAAGTTCTTTATACATGCAAAATTAATCATCAACTCTTATAGCCTTAAAACATCCAGCTCATTCCAGTCAAAGGAAAAATATGAGAAAACAAAGAACATAAAAATCTTAACAAAAGCCTGATGGTGGTAGTGGTGTGAGCCTTTAATCCCAGCAGGCAGGGGGGATCTCTGAGTTCAAGGCCAGCCTGGTCCACAAGAGCTAGAACCAGGACAGGCAGGCCCAAAGCTACAGAGAAACTGTCTCGGAAAAACAAAAACAAACAAAAGACAGCACACACACTGATCAATAAGCAATCATTTATAGTTACTAAATTCAACTAAAGAAACCATTTCTTTATTTATCAGACAGGCATAAATTGTTACCTGATAACACCAATTACTACTGTGGATGTATATTTGTTATCCCTTCACCTGGGAGGCTGAGACAAATTGCTACAAATTCAAAGACCACCCTGAGCCAATCAGGAGAGCCAAGTAACACCTTGTCTCAAGGAGAAAAGAAAACATGCTTACATACTGTTGCTGTGGGCATGAGTCTGCATAAATTCTCAAACGCAAGTTTCATTTATCAAATTAAAACATACTTTCCTTTGATATAGCAGTCTCTGCTAGAAATATATCTCGAGGATAATCACAACTATTTGTTAACTGTCCAATGATACTCTTGACTTATTTAAGAAAAACTTAAGAAAAAAAGGGAGGGGGAGGAAGCAATAGGGTGCATAACAGGAAGTTGACTAAAATGTACCCTACGTTATGAAATATGCAAATACTAAAATAAGGCCTGTCTGGGCTACCTAATAAGACTGTCCTAAAACCAACCAAAAACCAACCAGCCAACCAACCAACCAAACTAACCAACCAACCAACCAACCAACCAGTGCAAGGCTTGGTGGTGCATGCCTTTAATGCTAGCACTCAGGAGGTAGAAGCAGGCACATCTCTGAGTTTGTGGCCAGCCTGGTCTACAGAGAGAGTTCCAGGACAGCCAGGGCTACCCAAAGAAGAAAGTTACACAATGAGTAACTGAAATAGAAACCACATCTGAAAATCTCTTTCACAAAGCCTGCAAAGCTTTCTAATTTAACCTAGTCTCATTTAAAATGAAAATCTTAACTTTCATTTAAAGGGATGTTCAATATGCTTGAAACCGTAGCACTTAGCAGGCCAAGGATGGAGTTAAAAGCCAAACTAACTTCAGGTTAAGACGTTATAAAAAGAAAACGAGGCCGGGTGATGGTGGCACACACCTTTAACTCTAGCACTTGGGAGGCAGAGAGGCAGGCAGTTCTCTGTGAGTTCAAGGCCAGCCTGGTCTATAAGAACTAGTTCCAGAACAGCCAGGACTACTACAAAGAGAAACCCTGTCTAGGGGGTGAGGGGGGTAAAGGGGAATAAATGGGGGAGGGGAGAAGAAAATTCTTGTTACCTCTTCATGGACTGTTTCACCTCCTGTGACAGATGTAGCTTCTTGCTCTGCTGAGATAACTCCATGTTCTACTAAGTTGTATCCAGAAACAGCACAAACAATATACAAAAGACAGAAGTTAGGTAGGAGAAGCTAACAGAGAGCCTCACTGCAGCTGCCCACCTGAATCTATAATATTTCTGCAAAGGATGTCATTTCTACCATATAGCATCAGTGATTTATTATTACTATATACTTATTTTGGATATTCCATAAGTAGACAAAATATCCAACACTCAGTTTTAAAAAACAAATCAGGGCTAGAGATGGCTCAGTGGTCTAGAACACTGGTTATTTTTGCAGAAGACCCAGGTTTAATCCCCAGCATCCACATGACAGTTCACAGCCATCCTAACCTCAGTTCCAGAGAATCTGATTCTCTCGTGGGCAGTAGGCATACGTGTAGTTCTCATATATGCAGGCAATACATTTATAAAAATTTATCTAAAAAGTAATATAAAAAACTCACAAATTCTTAAGCTCTATTCCATTGTTTTGTGTATACATGAAAACCAGACGAACCTTAAAGTGTCAATACTTGAAAAACCTTTATAATACCACTAAAAACATTTTTCATATAAACACTATCATTAATATATCTTTAAAAACAGAAATTTCTTACTACCATCTAATAATAGATAATCCTGTTTATATTAAAAAACTCCTCAATAGTTGTTCTTTATAGTTGATTAATTCTCATCTTTTTCACTATATATGTCCATCTCCGTGAATTCAAAACCAGCCTAGACTACAAAGTGAGTTCCAGGATAGACAGAGCTGTTACACAGAGACACCTTGTCTTTGAAAACCAAAATAAAACAAAACAAAACAGGGTCTGGAGATAGGGCTCAGCAGTTAAGTGTACTTGCTGATCTCATAGAGGACCGGGGTTAGTTCCCAGCAGTCACATGGTGGTTCACAACCATTGATAAAACTCTAGTTTCAGAGAATCCAGTGTCCTCTTCTGACCACGTTGGGCACAGACATGTACATGATACACATGCTATGTGCAGGTAAATCACTCATAAAAAATAAATTCTTAAAAATATCTAAAAAGATTTTTTTAAATATTTATTTATTTATTTGTTAATTGTACAATAGTCTATCTGTGTGTATGTCTGCAGGCCAGAAGAGGGCACCAGACCCCATTACAGATGGTTGTGAGCCACCATGTGGTTGCCGGGAATTGAACTCAGGACCTTTGGAAGAGCAGGCAATGCTCTTAACCACTGAGCCATCTCTCCAGCCCATCTAAAAAGATTTTTAAAGGAAAAGGTATTGAAAGAACATGATCTGGGTATCAGTGGCTTTTAAATGAAAACAGAACATCTACTTTAGGGGGTCTCTGCTTACCAACTGCTAAATAAAATTCCATTTACACAAAATAAAACATACTAAGACACAAAAGTCACAACTCAGATGGCTGAATTTATCATTATATAGCCCAAACTAATCTTGCATTACATCGTCCTATTGCAGCCTCCAAAATGATGGCATTATAGACATTTGTACCAACAACATAGGCACACAAAACTTTTAAATATACAATTTACTTCCTCAGGTTTACTGAGGTAATCTCTTCTTGTCCTGACTCTACATTATGTCTGCCCAGATAATTTTCAGCCTTCTGGTCACATCTATCTTGGCAATACTTTTGGGACTGTCCATGACCCTGACCATGGTCCAGATGTTATTAGCCAAAATAATTAAATGTTTGTGCAAGGTAGAATATAAAACTAAAACAACTAGAGAAGCATATATCAATAATTGTAATCTTATGTCTGGCAAACACTGCTAAAATCTGGAAAAAGACAGATGCTACAAGGTCACTCACTCCAATCTCCTCTAACATTGATGTAATTGTGGTTTTTGTCTTTAAAAATGATGTACCTCTCAACTTTGGCACCAAGAGACATTTTGGAGGTGTTAGCCTGCTCTTGGTCTAGTCATTATTAAAGGGCTCTAGTAATTATTTAATTAGTGAGGCAGTGGGTGGATCATCTCAGTATAAAAAGTAAAAGGGACTGTGAAGAACCATTACAGAGAGACTTATTTTGTTGGAACACAAATTACAGAAAATCATGAGACAGATCGAAGTCTTTTAATGTCACCATAGCCAGTGAAAGCTATCTATGCTATGTGGATTTTAGTTTTGGATAAAATACAGACCTGGGATGTTAGCTTCGGGTTCTTCTGCCTGGACAACAACCTCTTCATTCTCTGCAGAGCCATCACTGTCAGAATCAGTTCCTGATGTGGGATTCCTGGTCTGTGAATCAGGGGCAGTGGCTGGTACGTAGGGCTGAGACCTGCTTACCTGAAAGTAGGCAGACATTGGTGTTCTCAACCTGCGTGGACATAGGGACAAAAGAATTATAGTACAATGGACCATCACTGCAAGAATAATCTCTAATGATGAAGACAATTCCAAGTTATTTCAGTCTATTTCAAGGCCATTAAATGTTTCCATTGAAAACTGAGTGAAACTAACATATTCTAGGGCTGGAGAGATGGCTCAGCAGGCAACAGCACTTGTTGCTCTTACACAGGACCTGGGTATGGTTCCTTGTACCCACATGGCAGCTTACAACTATCTGTAACTCCAGTTTTAGGAGCTCTGATGCTTCTCCTGACTTTGATGGGCACCAGACATATATATCATACACATACATACTCACAGGCAAACAATTAAAAATAAATATAACTGGGCTGGAAAGATAGCTCATTGTTAAGAGCACTTATTGGTCTTCCAGAGAACCAGGATTCAGTACCTGGAAGCTCACAGCCATCTGTAACTCCAGTTCGAGGGGATCCAATGCCTCTGGCCTCCTTGAGTACCTGGATTCTAATGCATATACTTAATCACAGATCCCCACATGGGCACATAATTTAAAAAAATAAAAATAAATCTAGAGCATACACATGTTACATTTTTCCTGCTTTTTAAAAGTTGACTTGTTAGAGGGACATAGCAACCATTTTTCGAGACAGGGTTTCTCTGTGGCTTTGGAGCCTGTCCTGGAACTAGCTCTGTAGACCAGGCTGGTCTCAAACTGACAGAGATCCGCCTGCCTCTGCCTCCCGAGTGCTGGGATTAAAGGCGTGCGCCACCACCGCCCGGCTAAAAATAAATTCTTAAAAAAAGAAAAAATAGAAGATCAGGCAAATATTGGTTAAATATATCCCCCCCCATTCAATCATGGAGTCTTTTAGGAAACCAACCACCAAACATCACATGAGGATTCTTTCCAACAACATGGAGTTCCCACAGTGGCTGTCACACAGTCTATCCAAGGCTACCATGGTGCTGGACAAAGGGATGAGAATAGGGAACTACAAAATGTACCAAGAGTTGCTTGTTTTCCTTCACTAATCACCCCTAGATTACTACAGATATGGCCAACTCTGTCATGAAAACTTAGCTCACATTTTACAAACACTGTTACTACTCTAAGGAGAAAAATTTTCCTTTCTTTTTTTTTTTTTTTTATGTGGGAGTTTTATTGAAATAAAGGGAGTGAGGCAGGGGAGAAAAAGAGAAATACAGAGAGAAAGAAGAGCCAAGGACCAGCCTGCCTCTTCAGAAGAGGGACAAGAGAGAAAATTTTCTATAGTCCTTATTCTGCCTTTTTTTTTTTTTTTTTGGTATAGTGCCTAGTAAGCACAAGGTCCAGAGTTCCCAAGATGGATCTCTACATCCAATCAGAAGAACATTTTTGTGTCCTCCCCACCCCCATTTTTAAACAGGGTCTATGTAGCCTCAAATAGCCCGGCTTTGAATTCACAGGTCTATCTGCCTCTGCCTCCCAAGTGCTGGTATTAAAAGGCAAGCATTACCACACCCAGTTGGGTTTGTTTGTTTTAATAGACCAGGTCTCAAATACTCCTACCTGGCTTCTAACTTGCTAACAAGCCAATGATGGCCTTGAATTTTTGATCTTCCAGATCTACTTTCCCAAGTGTTGGGATTAAAGGTACACTCTACCGCCCGGAGTGATGGCACACACCTTTAATTCCAGCACTCTGGAGGCAGAGCTTGAGGCCAGTTTGTCCTACAGAGTTCGTTCCAGGACAGCTAAAGACACACAGAGAAACCCTGTCTCAACAAAAAACAACCTATATACTACCATTCCCAATTCACTGATGCTAGGAATCAAACCCAGAATTTAGTGCATGGAAGGTAAGCTCTATCAAGTCCGAAACAGCTCCTTTCTTACAACAACAACAACAACAAATCCTTTTTACCTGTTTTAAATCAAGCTTAGTTTAGTTCTTTTTGGTTTTTTGTTGTTTGTTTGGTTTTGGTTTCTCGAGAGGGTTTCTCTGTGTATCTCTGGCTGCCCTGGAACTCACTTGGTAGACTAGACTGGCCTCGAACTCAGAGATCAGTCTGCCTCTGCTTCCGTGCATGCTGTGATTAAAGATATGTGCCACCATCTGGCTTTGTTTTATGATAAGGTATCCTAATTGCAGGACTAAAAAGTGCTAGGATTAAAGGCATGTACTACACCTAGCTGGCCTCTTCAGATTTATTTATTTATTTTTACATTTATGGCACTTTGCATGTATGTCTATGTACCACCTGCATGCAGTACAGGTCAGAAGAGGGACGTCAGATCCTTTGGAACCGGGGTTTCAGACGGTTGTTAGCTGCTACTAGGAAACAAATTCTGGTCTGGTCCTCTGGAAGAGCAGCCAAGCACTGAGCCATCTCTTCAGACCACCCTGTTCTTGAGTTAAAAAAAAAATTTGGGTTTTATCATCTGTAGTCCTAGTCTTCCTTAGTTTTGTGATAACAGGTACTCTGATCTATCCTATTCATCAATATCTCTAGGGTAAAATTCAATTTCACATATTAGAGTTGTAATACTTCATGAATGATAACTTTGGCAACAGAACCAAGCAGGATGGAGTTTTAAAGCTTGGCTTAGGGGCTTGCTGCCAAGATCAGTTCATTATTTAATTTTCCCTCAAATTGGCCTCTTGGCTAGGTCTAAGGCAGAAGCCACTCACTTTGGCCCCAGGAAGTCTAGCAGGTGAGTCAATGGCAAACATTATAGAGAGAAATTCATCTAAATTTTGGAAATTCAGAAGCCAGCATGGTGGCAACACTTATAATTTCATCACTCATGAAGTGGAAGTAGGAGGCTGTTACCAGATCAGCCTGAGCGATACAAAAAGACTTTATTTCATTGAGAAAAAAAAAGAAATATCACCAAAACCAATTAACTAAATAACCCTACTCAATGCTAGTGAGATGGATGAGCAAGTCAATCGCTTGAGTTTAACTGGGAACTCATATAGCAGGACAGAACCAACTCCAGCAAATTGTCTTCTAACCTCACATCCATGCTGTGCCATGAGTGTGCTCATATACATATACACGAATAAGAACATGTAAAAAGGACAAAAGAAAAAACCCTACCTTAAAACAAAGAACACAAATATAGTTCAGAAGAAAGAAACCAGTCCTAGGAAATCAGTTACATAGATTTAGTGTAGAATTTGCTTAAAATACAGTTTCAGGAAAATATTTTAGTATTGTATTCATCTTGTTACAGAATCCATGTTCCTTGCAGTGAACTGCAGAGCCTTGGCCTTTGAGGTTTACTCACTTTGCAGAGCAGGTTACATGGATGTCAGTACCAGTCAAATGGCTTGGCTGACACATCTTTCAACTCCTATTTTGTAAATGGAGGTTTCTCTGTCCCATCCCGTACTGCAATCACTTCTAAATAATCACTCAGAGGCTTAATATTAATTATAAAATGCTTGGCCTATAGTTCAGGCTTATTACTAACTAGCTCTTACATTTAAATTAATCCATTTCTATTATCTATGTAATGCCACATGGCCATGGCTTTTATCAGTCTGCTGGCATGTTGTCTCTTGGGCAGCTGGCCTGTATCTATCTCTCTTGACTTCACCCCTCTTCATTTGAGTTGTTTGTCTCACCTAACCTTATTCTGGCTATTGGCCAAAGCGTTTTTATTATTAACCAATGAGAGAAATACATATTTACAGTGTACAGAAAGATCACCCCAGAGCATTCTACAATCCACCTCCTATAATTAATTAATTTTGTTTGTTTCTTTTTTGAGACAGGGTCTATATAGACCATGCTAGCTTCAAGCTCAGAGATCTGCTTGCCAAAGGCTGTGATTAAAATATGCACTACAATACCCAGAATTTAAAAATAAATAAATCTTAAAAAGGGGGGAGCACACCACAGTTGGGGAGGTGGCTCAGCAGGTAAATCACCTGATATTCCAGCACAAGCATCAGAGTTCCAATACCCAGAACATGTGTAAATGTGGGGAGGGCCCTTGTAACTCATGGAGACAAGATTCCCAGAGCAAGCTAGTTAGCTAAACCACATGGGAGAGTCCTGAGTTCAACTGAGACCCTGTCTTAATTAACCATGCACACCTAAGTATGCACACACTCCATACATATTTGAAAACATTTGAATTAATAAATAAAAGGGGAGGTGGTGGTGAAGGGATGACTCAGAGGTTAAGAGGATTGGCTGTTCTTCCAGAGCTCCTGAGTTCACAACCATCTATAATTAGATCTGGTGCCCTCTTCTGGTGTGCAGGCATATACACAAGCAAAACACTGTATACATAATAAATAATAAACAAAAGGGGTCACCTTCAATAAATATTATTGCTGACAAACCTGCCTTTAGATTTCAAAGCACATCACTGAAACCATCCCCTCAATATTAAAAGAAGTAAACAAGGCAAGCACTAATTTCATCCGGTCTACCAGGAGTGGGGATTCTGAAGAGTTAGCACTGAGGGGGTGTCTAGAACCTGAGTTTCACAATTCATAAAGTGGCATCAATCATTTAACTTATATTTTACCTGGCACCATCTGGCCTCTGAGACCCTCCACTTCTGGCCCTTAAAACGGATCCTGTTCTTCTCCTCACTCGCACTGGCCCCACGCTGTGGTTTGAAGGTGGCGGTCTCAGCAGCTCCAGCATGTTATGGAGTCTCTGCAGCCCACTAATGAAGTTGTTCATCGAAACCGCTGTTGCAGCTCGGATACTCTCGTTAGCACCAGATCCCCGTCTACGCGCTTCTGAAGTTCCTGGAGTGACTGCCTCCACATTGCCTTCTGAGAGCTGGGCATCCTCTGTCAAATCAATGGATGCTGGTGGCACAGGCTGTAAGAGGGGCAGTCCTCCTTGGCTGCTGACCACTTCAGCTGGGGCAGGCTGACCAAGTGCTCCTCCTTGGCTGCTGACCGCTTCAGCTGGGGCAGGCTGACCAAGTGCCCCTCCTTGGCTGCTGACCACTTCAGCTGGGGCAGGCGGGAGGAGGGGTGCCCCTTGGCTGGTAACGTCAGTTGGAGCAGCCTGTCCTGTACTACCATCTAATGGTACTTGAAGATCACAGTCCATTGCCTCCTGAGCCATCACTAGAGATAAAGCATTTGTAAAACATATTAGTAAAATAGGTTAAAAAAAAAACAACAAAAATTATACAGTTGATATAAGCAGTCTTTTAGAATTTCTGCTTAAGATTCTTTTTAGCAAATCAGCAAATTAGAAAAACCTTAAAAATTAATGAAGTAAGAAATGTTTTGGCAACCAACTCTAGAGCCTGGAAGATACCATGAATTCAAGGCCATCCTGGGCTACAAGACAAGACCAGAGCTAACCAAACCATTTACAACCATTTTCCTATAATTATAGTATATATATATATATATATGTGTGTGTGTGTGTGTGTGTAGTATATATGTCCCAAAATATAAAGACCTATAATAAGGAGGCTTAATATTGTAATAAAAACCCCGCAATTTTGTCTCAACCAACATAAAGACATTTATCAAAACAAACAAAATGTTATATCTAACAGGTAATATTAATCTTTCATAACATCAAAAGTGACAAAGGATGTAGAGAAATGCCGTTTTTTGGCACATGTGGTACTGTACACACTAAGCGTATCGCTCTACCACTTAGCTCTACCCACCCATCTACTCTCAGCCAAGCCACAGAAGACATTTTTACATTTCTAAGATTAAAATTTAAATTTCTTTGAGAAAAAGCGAAAGTGAGACTGGGGACTGAAGCTCAGTACCAGCCTAGTATACAAAGGTATCTGGATTAACCTTGGCACATATGCAAATACACCACAGCTAAATTGGCTGGGCTTGGTGACACGTCTGTAATCCTATCACCGACAGGATGAAGGCAGAGGCAGGAGAATAGTGAACTGGGCTAGCCAGAACTACAAAGTAGGTTTCAGAAACCTGAACTACTTCGCAAAACCATACATCTATGTAAATTTAACTAATTAAAAAACACAGTCCAAGACCTATTAGATCTGAGTAATGAATGCACAGAATTTTTCATTCTAATTTTCAGCGCATGGTTCTATATTTTAAAACGAAATCCTCCCATCTCATGCGGAGAGCAACCATTGTTCTGATTTCAAATGGAAGGTAACAGCAGAGAATTCCACACAGCATGGATTTCATAGCTGGTGCTGTATCCTCTCAAGGAAAAAAAACTCCAACAAATGATAAACCAAAACTACAACAACTAAGAACATGCCAGGACCTATACACTATTAAAACCGCAGTAGACTTCTATAAAAGAACCTAGCAATTTTAACTCTTTATGCAAAAAAGGCTATGCTTAAAAAATTTTTCACTACTCCTTGAAACCACGTAAACTAACGCTTTTAATGTGTTCTAAGGTTTACCGACATCCTTACAAGAATTATCTTAAAAGACCCTGCCGTTGCTTAGTGTCCTAACAGTAATTCCGTCCTTAGAGAGGATAGTCTCCAAATTTGAGGGCAGTCCGGGCTCCAGAGAGAGACATCACAAACAAGCAAGCCTAAGCTACGTAGCCTCTTCTTTACCCTCAGCACGTCACAACACACACACACACACACACACACACACACACAAACCAAACAAAAAACGCTAGCGTGATGGCCACGAAATGTCAGCGGCCCTCAAAAGGTGAACCTCACATCTGCCATCTTACAAGGAAGCTTCAGAACCAGAAGGCGGGGGCGACGACCCCCAGTAAACACGGCGTCTGGTTTCGGTGGCGATTCAGTCTGACCTGGGTTCAGATCCAGGCTCCCCCTTTTAGTTTGTGGAAAACCTAAAGTTTCCTAACCTGTCTGTCCAAGTCTGCTCACCCGCAGATAACGAGAATACACACGTCACAGCTCGGCTGGCCTGGTAAAATTGCAGTTCTGTAACCCAGCGAGAGACAAGGGCCAAAGAGAACCTGGCGCTCGAGCGCACCGGAGGCACCTGGAGAACTTTGCCGCACGGGGCCCCCAACCGCGCAAGCGGAACCTCGCTTCAGTTCCTTCCGGAGAGCTCATCCTCTCCGCCTTTCTCGCCCCGGACCCCCCACATTCCTCGGGACGCAAGGAAGAAAGTCCGAGGTCCCCAGCCCTGGTCGAAGGACGCCGCAGAGTGCGCAACCCGCCTTCAGCCAACCGGACTAGGCCCCGCGACCAGACACAGGCCAAGGGGAAGATGATCCGCACCCAGAGGCCCCGGGCTAAGGAGACACAGGTACCTGCCTCACCTTAAACTACAGGAACCAGGTCGGACGCCCCGACCGATTGCGACTTCTGCTGTCGTTGCCGCGCAAAACTCGGCGCCCGCCGGCGCCAAACAACTCTCCGGACTCCTCGAGCGCCCCGTTCGAGCCAAGGTTCAGCGAGCTCCTATTGGTCAGTCTCCGAAGGCGGCGACCAATACTATTTCTTCTTCTTCCATTGGTCGGCGTTGGCTGAACTAGTGGCTCTCTTATTGGCCAGCTCTTGATACTAGCTTGGCGAGAACCTCGTGCGAAAAAATCCTCCTATAATTGGTAGAAATCCATGTCCGCCATCTCGCGCCCCGCCCCTGTACGGTAGAGCGTGAGCATTTTCTTTTTTTTTTTTTCTTTTTTTTTTTTTAACTGTTTTGCATTTATTTGAAACGTCTAGCCGGAAGAAGACCCGAGGAAGAGAGTTCCTCATCCGTTTTTCTTCTTTTCTTATTCCTCTCCTCCGCTCCTCCTCCTCCTCCTTTTCTATAATTTATTTTTATTTTACGAGCATTCATTGGTGTTTTGCCTGCACGCATGCCCTGTGTGAGGGTATCAGATCTGGAATTGGAGTTAGAGACAGCTGAAAGCTGCCATGTGGGTGCTGGGAATTGAACCTGGGTCCTCTGGAAGAGCATCCAATGTTCTTACCTGCAGAGCCATCTCTCCAGCCCCTCCGTCCGTTTTTCTAATGTAAGTGAAAATGTTAGAAGTGATTTCCTCGGGCTGGAGGGATGACTCAGAGATTAAGAGCACTGACTGTTCTTCCAGAGGTCCTGAGTTCAATTCCCAGCAACTACACGGCTGCTCACAGCCATCTATATGAGAGATGATGCCAACACTGTGTACATAATATTATTTTAAAAAAGTGACGTCCTCCGCTTTTCTCTAAGACTTTATTAATTAATATAGTAGTTTATCAATGATATTGATAATGTTGATCCCAGAATTCTGGAGTCTGTAAGAGCCATGAGACAACTCAGTTCATTTATTCTCTCTCATACAGGGTTGGACAGCTTGTCTTCAATGGTCAAAAAAAAAAAAAAAAGAATTTGTACAATTTCTTCAACTTGAAATTACTCCAATAAAATTTCTTGGGAGTCATCACATAAGATTCTTCAAACGCCGGGCAACGCCGGGCAGTGGTGGCACACGCCTTTAATTCCAGCACTCGGGAGGTAGAGGCAGGCGGATCTCTGTGAGTTCGAGACCAGCCTGGTCTACAAGAGCTGGCTTCAGGAGAGGCTCCAAAACCACAGAGAAACCCTGTCTCGAAAAAAACAAAAAAAAGATTCTTCAAACATGTTTCTGAAATTGTACTAGCTCTGTAGACCAGGTTGGAGATATTCGTTTGCCTCTGCCTCCTGAGTGCTGGGATTAAATGCGGGCACCACCACCACCCAGCTATGTTTTTAAAATCAGAACTTCAGGCACAGATTACATTGCTGCATTTTTAGTTTATTAATTCAGCAGCCAATTTTTAGTAAAATTGGTAGAGGACAATATAAATAATAGATACTTTGTATATTTTCTCCTCTAAACTTGTTACCAAGGTCAGTACCAACTTATATTTATTTATATTTTATGTGCCGTGGTGTTTTGTGTTAGCGCACCCCTATCATCCTGGCATTCAGGAAACTGAAACAGTAGGATCAACTAGAATAAGCCTGGGTACATAGTGAGTTTCAGGACAGTCTGGGCTACAGAGTAAGAACCTGTCCTAAAAAAAAACAAAAACAAGGGACTGGAGAGATTATTTAGTGGTTGTGGTAGTGTGAATGTAATTGGTCCCCATCAGCTCATAGAGAATAGCATTATTAGGAGGCGTGACTTTTGTTGGACTAGAATGAATTTGTTGGAGGAACTGTGTCACTGTGGAAGTGGACTTTGTGGTCTCCTATAAGATCAAGCCACGCCCAGTGTCTCACACCACGTCCTCTCGCCCGCAGATAAAGAGGTAGGACTCTCGGCTTCAGTACCATGTCTGCTTGCATGTTTCCTTGTCCCACCATGATGAACTAAACATCTGAAGCTGTAAGACAGCCCATTCAGTGTTTTCCTTTGTAAGAGTTTCCATGGTCACCGTGTCTCTTTGCAGCAATAGAAGCCCTAAAGCAGTGGCTAAGACCACTTGCTTCTCTTCACTTTGTTTTCCAGCATCCATGTAAGACATCTCCTGTTTGTAATTCCAGCTCCAGGGGATCTGATACCTCTGATGATCTCTGAAGGAAACTATGGTGTCATGTATGTGCCCACATGCAGACACACACACACACCTACACATAAATAGAAATAATGAAAATAAATCGTTTTTAAAACCCCATCAACCTGGATAGTGGTGGTGCACACCTTTTCTCCCAGCCTGCACAGAGGACACCGGGTAACCAGGAAACAACCTATGTAAACAGTCAGGGGGGAAACTAATGGCTCCTGATCTGATTAGCACATTCACCAGATACTGCAGTTTCTATGGGCCTAGGTCTGAAGTTTATACTTATTGCTCTAATCGGTAGAAACAAACAGCCTGGGTCTCTAAATTACCAGCTCCGAGGTATGCTGTTCTTAGCTGTCCTGATCCTGGTCATTGTGGGACCTCATATTTACTATGTAGCTGAAGATGATTAAACTTTTTTGTTTTGTTTTGTGTTTTTCTTTTTTGTTTTGTTTTGTTTTGTTTTTCGAGACAGGGTTTCTCTGTAGCTTTGGAGCCTGTCCTTTAACTGGCTCTTGTAGACCAGGCTGGCCTCGAACTCACAGAGATCCGCCTGCCTCTGCCTCCCGAGTGCTGGGATTAAAGGCATGTGCCACCACTGCCTGGCTGTGTGTGTTTTTCCAGATATGTTTTCTCAGTGTAGCCTTGGCTGTCCTCTGTAGAAGGACAGAAGAACAGAACTCACTCTGTAGACCAGCCAAACTAGACTGGCTTGGAACTCACAAAGATCCTCCTGCCTCTACCTCCTAAGGGCTGGGATTGAAGGTGTGCACCACCACCGTCCAGTGATGACTGAAAGTTTTGTTTTGTCTTGTTTTTTGAGACAGGGTTTCTCTGTGTAACAGCCCTAGCTGTCCTGGAACTATCTCTGTAGACCAGGCTGGCCTCATACTCACAGAGATCTGCCTGCTTCTGCCTCCTGAGTGCTGGGATTAAAGGTGTGTGCCATCACCACCAGACAATGATTGAACTTTTAATCTTTCTGCCTTACCTACCACTAAGTGGATTTTTGGGCATCAAACACAGGGCTTTGTACAAGTACTCTGTACAACAACATCACTGAACAACATCATTGGTCCCTAGATCACAACAATATGGAGATCTCTGGGACCTGATGTACAAAGTCAGACGTGATCAGAGGCCAGGCCATGGACATCCAAACAGCAAGTTTTGTATTTAGTTCAGTGGGCAAAGGGAAGGGTTGCGGAGGGTTCACTATTACTACCGTTGTGTAGCAAACACCCCAAAACTTAGCGGCTTAAGACAGGGATATATTTATTGAGCTCATGTTTTTGTAAATTGGCAGTGGGGTAGGCTCAGCTGGGTAGCTCTTCGATCTTAACTGGGCTTCCTCATGCAACTGGGTCAATTGCCAGGCTGACTGGCTGGCTTAGCGTGAACTCAGATGGGACCATTTGCCGCCACTCTGTGTAGGTCCTCCTCATCTACCAGCATGCCTACCACTCTTGTGCACGGGTGGGCACTGTTTCACGAGAGGGAGGGAATATTTTAAAGCCTAGATTTGGAAGTGGTCCACTGTTCCTTCTTCCACATGCTGTTGAAACAATCAAGCCATTAGCCAGCTCAGATTCAAATGCTGGGGAAACAGAGGCCATTTCTTGATAGGATCCCTCAAATCATGAAAAGAGCCATGGACATAAAATCATTTTCATAAATAATCTGCAGTTAATCTTAGCAATATAGTTTTAGAAATACTGGGAATTCTTTATAGCTGGAATTGTTTTTGTTGTTTGTTTGTTTGTTTTTTGAAACCCGTCTCTATATGCAATCCTAGTTGTCCTGGAAGTTGCTATGTAAATGGCTAACCTCAAACAGAGATCCACCTGTCTCTGCCTCCCAAGTGCTGGATAAAAGGCATGTGCCACTACTTTAGGCTGGAATTGTTTTCCTTCTTTCTAATCTTTTTTTAATAATTTATTTTATGTGCATTGGTGTTTTGCCTGCATGTGTATCTGTATGCGGTGTCAGATTCTCTGGAACAGGACTTGTGAACTGCCATGTGGGTGCTGGGGATTGAACCTGGGTCCTCTGGGAGAACAACCGGTACTCCTAACTGCTGAGCCATCTCTCCAGCCCCATGGAGTTGCTTTCTATTTGTAACAAATAAGAACTTTGCCAGGTGTGGTGGCCCATGCCCTTAATCCCAACATTGAAGAGGCAAAACTAGATTTCTTTCAGTTTGAACTCCGTCTGTTCTATATAGCAAGTTCCAACTAACAGGGGCTACATGGTGAGACTACATTTAAAAAAAGAAAAAGTTTTGCACCTAGCAAAACTTGATACTAACAGATATGAAAGACAAATGTCCAGTTTGTTTCTCTTCCAGCTTCTTGTCCAGGGAGTCTTCCGTTTAGGTTTGCACACACACCTCAGTTAATTTCAGACAGTCTGTCTAAGATTTCTATGAAGGAATGAACAGAAAGTAGACAAGAGCAAGTTAGTGACAGCCAAGCTAGAAACACAAACGCATGTCTACAATAGAAAATACACAGAAACTGTTTGTCTGGCTTGTGCATAAACTGTTTGCACACACAGACCCCTAATACACCACCTATGAAAACCTAAATCCCAAATGAGGCATCATGTGTGTGCCTATAATCTTGAAACATTTGTAACCCCAACTCCAAGGGGGTCACAGACAAAAGGATTACTGAGGCTTGATGACTTTCCAGGCTAGCTGAGAATATGAAGCCCCCAGGCTCAAGAACAGACCCTGCCTCAAGAAGAAAAAGTGAATGACCTGGTCATTCTTCAGTGACAGGGTATTGAGAGAGAGGACCAGATCAGATGAAAAGAGAATAGAAAGTAGAGAAGATACCAAAGTTTGGGAGTGGGAGGGCTTGTGTCAGCTATGTCTTATGCCAAGGAAACTTATTAAGTAGTGCGGCATCTTATATGTTGTTTCCATGGGAGACATGGGACAGAGTCAGCAGCTATCATACATTGGGACAAAGTCAACAAGAAGCTAATCAAATAACGTTGCACAAGGGATATCTCAAGAACATTACAGACCAAGCACACAAAAGCTTGAGACTGATAACCAGATCCCTGTACACTGGGAAGAGTTGGGTTCTTAGAATCTGAAACCTCAGCTCTCCCAAGGCCCAAGCCACAGGCCATTACCCACTCTATAAAGAATATTTCTGGTTATTATGTTTATGATATGATATTATTTATATTATATTTTTGTCTTTTTGAGGCAGGGATTCTCAGTAACTATGGAGCCAGTCCTGGAACTTACTCTGTAGACCAGGCTGGCCTTGAACTCACAGAGATCTTCCTGCCTCTGCCTCCTGAGTGCTGGGATTAAAGACATGCACCACCACCGCCTGGTTTACTCCTGGCTTTAGAGAAGGAATTGTCGTCCTTCTCCAAACCTCAGGGAAAGCCTTGAATCAGCTCAGCTCTCAACAGGTGAAGATGCATAGAGGACAGCTGATGCCCTCTTGAGGGTGTCTCTCTCTCTCTCTCTCTCTCTCTCTCTCTCTCTCTCTCACACACACACACACACACACACACACACACACAACACACACACACATGAATAAGTATATAAGCCAGGTGTGGTGGCACACACCTTTAATTCTAGCACTTGGGAGAGAGAGGCAAGTGGATCTCTGTGAGTTCAAAGCCAGCCTGGTCTTCTGCATAGGGAATTCCAGGATAACCAGAGCTGTACAGTGAGATATTGTCTACAAAAAAAGCCAAACAAACAAACAAACAAAAAAACCTTAAAAAAGGCTAAATCAGGGCTGGAGAAATGGCTCAGAGGTTAAGAGCACTGGCCGCTTTTCCAGAGGTCCTGAGTTCAATTCCCAGCAACCACCTGGTGGCTCACAACCATCTGTAATGAGATCTGGTGCCCTCTTCTGTTATCCAAGCACACATGCAGGCAGAACACTGTATACATAATAAATAAATGAATATTTTTAAAAAGTATTTGAAAACGTCTAAGTAAGTCAAAGAAATAATTCCAAGGATGCTGAAAAAAGGAGTAAGAGGGAGGGAGGGAGGAAGTAAAGAAATAGGCCTGAGAAAAGTAACCTGTTTCCATCTCTGAAGCCCCGCCTTGCTGACATCTGGGCTACATCATTCTTATTTGTGGTGGGATGTCCTATACACTTGATGGCTCCATGTTAAGCTTTTGTGTGTGTGCTGCTGGGGACTGTGACCCCAGGGTTCCCATCCACTAGTCACACACAGTCCCACTAAGGTACACCTCTAGCCCTGTCCTATGAATAGCATCCCAACCTCTGTCCATTAGATGCCAAGAATACACACCCTGCCTCCCCTTGCCCTGAATTGCAACAACCAAAATTGCTTTCAGAAGTCGTTAAATGTCCCCTGAAGGGGCACACCCAGAATTACCCCTGGGTGTGAATTTCTCTCCTGGAGCTTTAAGAAAAAACAACAACAAAAACCCCAACTTTTACAATTGTGAAATAAACGTGTGGCTTGCATTCTTTTTTTTTTATCCATCATTTTAAATTTATTTTACATACCAACCACAGTTTTCCCTCCCTCTTTTCCTCCCATCCCTGCCACACCCTTCTACCACCCCCACCCACCCACTCCTCATAAGAATCCTACCATCCACAGAGGGCCTTTGTTTGGGCTCATAGGCCCTGCACTCCTCAATGATCTCCTGCAATAGCTTAGGGCAATCTTCACCCACTGGCTCCTGCTTCTGGCCCTCAGCTACCAGCTTGTAGATCTTCTTCGAATCACAACCTACCATGGAAGAGAGAGGATGAGTGGCTTCATTTTCACTCACGTACTTCTCTCTGGACATTGATAGATAGGATTAGAACAAGGGACTTCAAACATGGGGGGAAAAAGAAAAGAAAGGAAAGGAAAATAAACAAAGAAACAACAGAGCTTTTAGAGACTCTCCTAACCGGTTCAAGGAATCCCTGCATTAACCAAGTGGCTATGGCAGCACTAAGGGGGAATTTCTGGTCTCTCAGAAGGTTGATCCAACTACAACCTCAGTAGGGCCAGCCTTCATGTTCTTTACCTTGGAATGGGATCTTTCCAGTGACAATCTCCCAGAGCACAATTCCAAAGCTGAAAGAAAATCAAGGGTTTATCAGGTGGCCCAACTCAGTGGGCAAAGAACTCACCGTGCCGTCCTCTTTTGAATTTGACCTCCAGAAACCAAGTAGAGGTAGGAGGAGAGAAATGACCCAAAAAGCTATTGCCTGGACTTCATACACGTGTCATGGCCTGTGCAAGCCACCCTTCCGTACATTGCTTGAGAGATGGTTTAGCACACTTGCTGACCTGCGTTCTGTTCCTAGCACCCAGATGGCAATTCACAGCTATCTGTAATTCCGGTTCCAGGGGATCAGATGCCCTTTTCTGGTCGCTGTGATGGCTCAGAGGTTAAGAGCACTGCCTATTCTTCCAGAGGTCCTGAGTTCAATTCTCAGCAACCACATGGTGGCTCACAACCATCTGTAGTGAGCTCTGATGCCAACACTATATACATAATAAAGAAATAAGTAAAATCTTTTAAAAAATGAAACCAAAAATCTAAGCATGTAACACATTTCTTTTCCCATGCTCCTTGAGCCATTTCAGAAAACACTGAATTTTCTGGTTACTGCCTGACTCCAGGCAACACCCCACCACACCCACTGCGTGATCAAAGCTAGAACCTACACACATTAGGGAGTACTTCCCCACTGACCTGCACCCCGGCCCCCTGTTCAACAGAGTTAAGATGGTCCTCAGAAGCGGAGTTCACTGGGGACTATACTGTCCTTCCTGCCTGAGTGAGAATTTGTACAAAAACATGCACACACCTATATATTTCATCTTGTCTGTCATATTTATGATACGGATTTTCCAGTCTCTCAGGGGAGATATATGCCGTTGGATGGTTTCTCTCTGCGTTAGTGTGTTTTGTCTTCCAACTGATGGAAGTTTGCGTCTTACTTAGTTCAAATCCTGCAAGCTAGAGACAGAAAGATGAGTTAGAGGTAGATGTCGAAACGGCAAGCCCCAGGGTGGGGAGGTAGAAGGTGGAGCTGGGGTGGCTTTTTCCCTAGGGGATTTATTTCCAATGGTGCTTTAAGGCTATGTTTGACATGATAGGTTCAATTCATCATGTTGTGCCAACCAAAGAGAAGCTCTTCTCTGGGACAGCTCTTCTCAATAGAATGGGATGGGTGGTAGGGAAGAGTCTCTGAAACAATGGCTATAAGGTCCCTGCATGCTTTGGTAAGTTTACTGACTGAACGTACTTATTACTACTGCTAGGTCTAGGGCTTTCATGGTGAAAGACCCAACTCCAATCAGCGAGGGAGGGAGGGACCATAGAGCTCCATCATGGCTTGATTTTCCCCAGGAGCAGCTGCAGAAATGGCAGGAGGAACTCCTTTGTTCTGTCTGTCCTCGCACGGTGTTGCTTGGATTTTGCATGAAAAGTGTGAGTTATCTTTGTCACCCCGGAAGTCATACATGCCTAAAGATGTCACTGCATGACTAAAGGGAGCGCATGTTTTTGCTCCCCGTGGAGCTGACATTAGCATCATCAGTGTGCAGAAAGAGAACAGGCTGACACAGTCAGCCAGGTACCCAAATCTAAGGGTGAGGTCAAGAAAAAGTTGAGACATACAGATAGATGGCAGAAGGTGTGATTCCACATTCCTTTAGTCCTAGCACTCAGGAGATAGAGATAGGTGAACTCTGTAAGTTCAAGATCAGTCTGGTCTACATAGCAAGTTCTAGGACAGCCAGAGCTACATATAGTGAGATCCTGTTCCAAAAAAACAAAACAGAACAGCAGAAGACACTTAGGTGGGGAAGGCATCTGAAAGGCAGAAAGGCTCTGTCTGCACGAGGCTGGAAGGAAGAGCAAGCTGTGCACCTGTGTGCTGGGAGCCAGTTGGTTGCTGTTGAAATGGGTGTGGTGATTTGAAAGAGAATGACCTCCAAAAGGAGTGGCCCTGTTAGGAGGTGTGGTCTTCTTGGAGTAGGTGTGATCTTGTTGGAGGAAGTGTGTCACCGCTGAGGCAAGCTTTGAGGTCTCATATATGTTCAAGTTACATCCAGCGTCTCAGCTCATTTCCTGTTGCCTGCAAGATGTAGAACTCTCAGCTACTTTTCCACCATATCTGTCTGCACACTGCCAAGTCCCACCATGACAAGCCGCCTAATTAGGTGTTTTTCTTTGTAAGCATTGGTGTGTCCATAGTGTCTCTTCACAGCAATAGAAACCTTAACTAAGACAATGAGCAAACTCAAAGAACTTGGGAAAGAGGCACTCATCCTGGCTGGATGCTAATATGGATATAAGGCTGCCATAGCAAAGAATGTTGATGACGGCACCTTGGCCCTCCCTCCCTGGCATAGCCATGCTCAGGTGCCTGGGATTGACAGTTGCCTCTGACAGAGTGACAGCAGTCATGGGCAAGAAGAAAAGCACCCGGAGGTCAGATTGAGTCTCTGGTGAAAGTTTATGACTGCAATCATCTCATGTCCTCAAGGCTCTCCACAGATATCCCCTTGGACAAAAGGGTCACCAACATGGACATTTTCTGGAACACAGCTCTGAAACTCAAGGCCAGATGGGAGTTCAAAGTCAAGTTGGAGGAATGATAAGAGATGGGCTAGATCATAGGGTTCTGTCAGCAGCTTTAGTTTCAGTTGTATCCATCATTAAAAATTAAAAAGAGAGAAAGAGAGCCCGGTGGTGGTGGCGCATGCCTTTAATCCCATTTAATCCCAGCACTTGGGAGACAGGCAGCAAAGCTACAGAGAAATCTTGTCTCAAAAAAACAAACAAACAACAGAGAGAGAGAGAGAGAGAGAGAGAGAGAGAGGAAAGTATCCATGAATGACAAACATTCCTTTACAATTTTAGTAATTTTAGGGCGTTGGACAATGAATTAATAAACCCCTTTCTTCCTCTGAGCAAATGAAACAAGTCATGGTAGATTTTCAGCTAACCATCGGCTCTGTTCCCCTGAAAAACTGATACAGGTAGACCATCAACCTATGCTTCTTAGTCACCTAATTATAAAAATTATTGCTGGTATACAAATTGCTTTGGGGTAGGGGTTGGGGGGGCATAAATACCTAACAGGCATGGTGTACTTTGTAGCAACCATTATACATAGGAACTAGCTTGTCCCTTGCAGGCTCTTGGAAGGTATGTCTATAAAGTTATGAGACACTGACTACTTTAAGTCATGAGACTTCGAAATCTGGATGACTCCATACCCACCCAATGGGAGCCTCCTTCTTTAGCCACTGGTAGGAGCAAAGCCTGGATGAATGTGAGGTCCCACACTGGAGAGAAGGGGTTGATGCTGCTAGCTAGGTTTGCTCCCTGTGAAGCCTTGTAAGTCACCTCAAATGACAAGTGTGGCCCACGACAATCCTCTGAATCTGAATGCCCAGTTGATCATAAGTAGATGCCCTGGTAGGTGTTCAGTGATGGAGAAGTGGCGTCTAAATGTCTAAGAGAAATGGCTCTTTGCTCATCCCTGCTCTGGGGTGGGAGGAAGGTAGGCACATCCGAGAGGGAGGCAAGGGCAGAGTTTGTTCTGTAGTGGGCACCCAGAAAGCTGTATAAGCAGGTGAAGAGGTGCACTCAGTTCGAGAGAAATAAGAAGGCGCGGCCTTTCTGCAATACCCTCTTCTAGGCAGCAACCATAGCTAAGCTCTGACCAACCCAAGGAGACCTTGGAGGACGTGCTCACCTTTACGTTGTAGCCTTCAGCTACCAGGAAGCTGGAACTGCTGATGTTTTTGTGCAGTTGTTGGGATGTTTCTGAATGGTGTAGCCTGATGACAACCAAAGGTAGGGTGTATTAATGATCTTGGCATAAACAGTGTTTAGTGGGATAATGAGGCTGGCTAGTACCCTGCCTTTCATGTGGGTGGCTCTCTGTGGGCAACCTAGAGAAACGCACCTGCTCAGCACCAGAGTTTGCAGTGAAACAGTGGAAGGAAGGGAAATTGGAGCTTCTGGCCCGTCCTCCCATCACCTCCGAGAGCATTAGTAGTGTGGTCCTCAGTGCTGGGATTACAGGTGCACCCCACTACTGCCTGGCTAGACTCCTCCAGTTCTTTTTTTTTTTTTTTTTTTTTTTTTTTGGTTTTTTGAGACAGGGTTTCTCTGTGGTTTTGGAGCCGGTCCTGGAACTAGCTCTTGTAGACCAGGCTGGTCTTGAACTCACAGAGATCCGCCTGCGCCTGCCTCTACCCGAGTGCTGGGATTAAAGGCGTGCGCCACCACCGCCCTGCCTCCTCCAGTTCTTTGAGGTGCTTAATTAACCCTTCTGGTACCTGTATAAGCCTCTGGCTGCTCCCAGGACTAAGAAGATGCGCACACTCAGAGGGAGGTCCTTTTCTTCATCCAGCAGTTCCCTCAGGGTTCCAAGTTTACAGTACTCCATGACAATGGAGAATTCAGGGGGCTTCACTAGGAAAAGAGGAAAAGAGGCAGACGGAGGTGAAGACCCAGCCTCACTCAGGACTCCCATAGTCACAAGTGCCTTCTCAGCTTCTTCCTGTAGTGATACATTTGCTCTAAAGCAAGCCTCATTTCTCCCCCAGCCTAAGACCAACTTGACTTTAAAGTACAACATTTCAGTCTAAAGGAAACTGAAGTAACACTCTCTTCGGAGATGGCTGGGGGGACTTAACTCTCCTTGGAGGAGTTATTTCTTTCATTTCCAGCCTCTGACCTGGGATTTTGACTTCTGGTCCAAACTCTTCACCAGTCTGTCCCTCCCACACACAGATTAGGTTGGACTGAGGCTATGGAGTAGTTTCCAGAAGGGAGATGTTGCTGTCCTCTCTCTAGGCAACAACAGCAAAAATGAACAGCAGGGACTTCCATGCTGCGAGAGGAAATGGAGCCACCGTAACCCTTAGTTTTAGCTAAAGGATAAGAAGCAATTAAAGTCACATTAAAAACTAAGGGGCTAGCCGGGAAGTGGTGGTGGCGCACGCCTTTAATCCCAGCACTCGGGAGGCAGAGGCAGGTGGATCTCTGTGAGTTCGAGGCCAGCCTGGTCTACAAGAGCCAGTTAAAGGACAGGCTCCAAAGCTACAGAGAAACCCTGTCTCAAAACAAACAAACAAACAAAAAAAACCAATGAAAACCTAAGGGGCTGGATGTGGTGTGCCATTGTATTGATCCCAGCGCTCAGACTCAGGAGGCAGAGGCAGGCAGATCTCTGTGAGTTCAAATCCACCCTGGTCAATGGAGCCAGTCCCAGGTCTACTACTTAAGTAGAACTTGTCTAAAAATAAACAAAAAAAAAAGGAAAGAAAAGAAAGAAAACAAAACATACCCTTGCCTTAGGCTAGCATCTCAACAAGCAGCCCCTGGGTTCTCAATGGATAGGGAAGGGGAGACACAGCTCCGTTAGTGGAAAGGAGAAGGGAGCTTATACCTTGAAACACAGAAATAGTGAACATTGGTAATAACCTCACTGCTACCAGTGAGGGGTCTTGATGGGGTTTACTTTCTCTGTCAGAGAATTAAAGGGCAGGAAAACTCTTGAGACAGGTAGCAGTGGGGAAGATCTCAAACACAGCAGGCAGAGTCAGCTGTAAGGAATGGCTTTTGTGAGGCTTGAGGAAGAGAAAGAGGGCAGGTGTGTGTGGTGGAGGTAGAGAGTAAGCACATAGAAACACCCTCTCCTCTGCAAATCAGTTGACTCGAGAGTCTGAAAACCAGTCTTTTCTCCTGGGCTGGGTTTTTAAGGTTTCTGAAGAGTCTTCCTCTCCTAATTTGGGGTGGGTCGGTTGGAACAAAGACAGGATTACTCGCTCACAACTGTCGTGTAAAGCAGCGTTTGGAGAGGTGTGGCGTGAAGTCACACGTGCCCTCCTGCCAAGTCTCTGTTTTGGCTTTGGTCTCGAGTCCGGTCAGGAGAGTGAGGAAAGAGCTGCCCGTCTTCAGAGTCTGTCTTCTTTGACTTAGTCATGGCCCCTCTCCTTGTCTGTCTGCCTATCAGGGTGTCTGTCTCTTAGTCATGGCCCTCTCCTTGTCTGTCTGCCCAGTAGAGAGTCTGTCTCTTTGTCCCTCACTGCCACCCTAGGAGCTGCCCTTAGAATGTAACACAGTGCCACCTTGAGTCTCTGGGGCCTGCCCGCCTTTCAAAGGCCTGGCTCTTGTCTTTCTTTAGGATGCTGGCCGGAGGTGAGGAACACTTCCTCTGGTACCTGAGCTTTTCTTACGTCTCTAAAGTTTTCCTCCCCACCATGTGACTGTTTGTCCACCATGTGGCTGACCTCCATGCTTAACTCAGATGACACAACTCTCTTTCTAACCTCTTAAATGCTCACCTATCAATCTGTAATTATCTTTAAAGCTCAAAAAAAAAAAAAAAAAAAAAAAAGAGTAACACATTAAAACACAGACAGCATCTTCTAGGCAGTCAAAAGCTTGACCAATCCCGGAAGGCTCCTTACCCGTTTCATCAATGCAAATCCCAAATATACGCAAGACGTTGGGAGAATCAAATTTCTTCATGGTTGTGATCTCGTTGTGGAAAGCGTGCCTCACTGTACTAGGAGAGTGAGAGGAGAAATTAGCATCCAGACTCTGCCGGTCCCCCAGAGAATGTATGATGGAGTAGGGGCTTGAGACACCGTCGGATCCCAGAATCGCTGATGGGCTTGGCTACCAGTCTAACTTCCCAGATGCAGAATTACTCCCTACGTGTCTGTCACAAAAATGATAGTATTTCTTAATCCTATTATTTGGTATTATCTGGTATTTGATAGAACTGTATTTTTGTGACTTATATAGCAAATTAAGATGTTGAGTTTTTATTACTAGTCATATTTTATTGTAGTAAATGTCCTGAAAAAAATAACTGTGATGTGTGTTCTTGATTAGCAAAAATAAGGAAATTAATTGAAAATTTATAAACAAAAATCCCTTCCTGAATGTGGCCTCGGGAATGTGGGCATCAGTTATTAGAGAGGGTCCCAGCACCCACTAACTCAGCCCAGTCTGCTACTTCTCACTGTGTGAGGCTCCAAGAGAAAACGATATTTGTCCAAGATCTGTCAGGCAGGCAGAGCAGAACCAAAGCATATAGAAATCGACTATTTCAAATTTGCTAGCAATGAAAAATATGAAAACAAAATTAAGAGAATAATTTCTTTTACAATAGTGTAAAAAATAGCAAGAAATTTAGGAATAAATTTAACAAAGCCAAGCATGATTGCATGTCATCAACCCCAGTTCTCCAAAGGCAGAGGCAGGAGGATCTTTGTGAGTTGCAGGCCAGCCAGGGCTACAAGACAAATTAGTAATAATATCAACAGACTCCTCCCACCCCCCCTCAAAGGCCCAATCAGTACGTTCACTGATGCAAAGACAGATAAATTGACCCTTGGGACAGATCAGAGATATAGAAACTAGACTGATGTTTATACAAAAACTTATACGATAAGTGTGGTGATGCCCATCAGCGGGGAAAAGGATGGGTGATTTAGTAGATAATACAGAGAAAACTGCTTACTCTGTGGATAAAACGAAAACTAGACCCTGCATAATATCACATAAAAAGACTGATAATATCACATAAACTTAAAAAATAAAGCTGGGGACTGGAGAGATGTCTCAGAGGTTAAGAGCACTGACTGTTCTTCCAGGAGACCTGGGTTCAATTCCCAGCATTCACATGTTGGCTCACTACCACCCATAACTCTAGCTCCAGGGGATTCAGTATCACCTTCTAGCCTTTGCAGACACCAGGCATGCAAGCGGTACACAGACATACATGTAGAAAAATTGTCCAAGCGCATAAAATAACACAAACATTTAATACAGGCGAAAAAAAAAACCCAGAAGTTGCAAATGTGAAGGCAGAAGATATGAAGAGGTAATTTACAGAAAAGCAAGTCAAATAGCTACTGTGAGGGCTGGAGAGATGGCTCAGAGGTTAAGAATACTGCCTGATGTTCCAGAGATCCTGAGTTCAATTCCCAGCAACCATGTGGTGACTCACAACCATCTGTAATGAGATCTGATGCCCTCTTCTGGCCTGCAAGTATACATGCAAGCAGAACACTGTATATGTAATAAATACGTATATATAAAAAAAATAGCTACTGTGAGTGTGGCAGCATTAAACGTGGGTGTGCACTCACCTCTGTGCGAGATACAGGAAGACAAAAATCATGTGTTCTCTGTCACATGCAGATCCGAACTTCTAACGTGTGCATGTATGTAAATAGTGGACAGAGGTGCTGAGAGAAGAGGAAAGGGGCAAGAGGTCACATGACACGAAATTGGAAAGGGATGCTACTGAGGAGAGGAGGGTTCAAGAGAGGGAGTCAAGATAGGGAAAACCAAATCGTATTTGATTTGTGTTTTGTTTTTGTTTTTTGAGAAAGAGTTTCTCTGTGTAGCTCTGGCTGTCCTGTCTCCTGTATAGACCAGGCTGGTCTAGAAAATTACAGACCTCTGCCTCCTAAGTGCTGGAATTAAAGGCACGTGCCACCACCGGCCGGCCCAAATTGTATTTGAAAATGCCATAATGAGAGGATGGAGAGATGGCTCAGTTAAGAGTGCAGCCTGGCGGTGGTGGCGCACACCTTTAATCCCAGTACTCGGGAGGCAGAGGCAGGTGGATCTCTGTGAGTTCGAGGCCAGCCTGGTCTACAAGAGCTAGTTCCAGGACAGGCTCTAAAACCACAAAGAAACCCTGTCTCGAAAAACCAGAAAAAAAAAAGAGTGCATCCTGCTCTTGCAGAGGACTGAATGGTTCCCAGCACCCACGTAGGGTGGCTCACAATTACTTGTAACTGCAGTTTTATGGAAATCTGCTGCCTCTGGCCTTCGTGGGCACCTTTATTCAGATGTACTTACACAAACATACATATAAAAAAAATAAAATGTCACAATGAAAGCGGGGCGGTGGTGGTGCACACCTTTAATCCCAGCACTCAGGAGGCAGAAGTCAGTAATTCCTAGATCAGCCTGGTCTATACAGGAGACAGGAAAGCCAGGGCTACACAGAGAAACTCTTTCTCGAAAAACAAACTCTGTGAGTTCAAGGCCAGCCTGGTCTACTAGAGCTAGTTCCAGGACAGGATCCAAAGGTACAAAGAAACCCTATCTTGAACCCCCCCCCCCAAAAAAAAATCACAATGAAACCAATTTTTTTTTTTTTGAGATAGGATTTCTCTGGGTAGATGTGGCTGTCCTGGAATTCATGCTGCAGACCCGGGTGGCTTTGAACCCACGAAGACCCACCTGCCTCTGCCACCTGAGTGCTGGGATTAAAGGCGTGCCACACCATGCCTGGCTCAAATTCTTTATAAGTAAATAAAGTTTTAAAAACTGCAATGGTTAAGCACATATAAATAAGTGATCAAATGTATTAGTAAATGGAGAAACGCTTTCATATCTGATCTCACTTTACAAGGATAAATCCAATTTAGAAACACCAGGAATCAGTCAGGACATGAAACATAGGCGTTCTCAGGCACCACAGGTAGAGTATAGCCATATCCACCCCCTCTAAGCTTCCTGGGAGTACTTAGCCAACTTAGGTATGTGGAGCCTATGATCCAACAGTTCCTATCCTGGAGTTACAGTCAAAAAATTCTTATACAAGTATTGGGGTGTAGTTCAGTGGCAGTGTTTGCCTCCATGTGTGAAGTTCAGGGTTCAATTCCCAGTGCCTCAAAATTGCCATACATTCATTAAGGGCTATGTATGGTGGCATTGTTTTCAGTTGGAAGCAGATGGTTTACATCATGGGAAATAGGCAAAATGTGGTCTGAGATATCCATCCACTTCAAATAAAAGGACTTCATGTTCCATGATGCTGAGTCAAGAAAGTGAGGCAAGTGGCCAATAGACATGCCACTTTGTCACCTGTGAGAAATCAATACTGTATAACAGAATAACCAAAGAGTATATTTTACAGGAAAACAAGAATAAAACACTGTAATCATTGTCTGTAGAATTCCCAGCACCACACCAAAAAGGGGGGGGGGAGGATGAAGAATGGAGAAGCAGGATTATGAGGTAATAAATTTTGTTGTTGTTGTTTTGAGATAAGGTCTCTATGTCTGGCTAGTCTGGAACTCGCTATATATAGACCAGGCTGGCCTTGAACTGGGATTGCCTGTGTCTGCCTCGTGTGTGCTGTGATTTTAAGGGGTGACACCACTATGTCCAGAAAAGACTATAAATTCTGGATGATACATAAATCCATGAGTACAAGGGGGAAAGTTTTAGAGCTGAGGTAGAAAGTTACTCAACGCCAGTCTGTTTCTTTTCCTTTTGTGTGCACAAGTGTTTTCCCTGCATGTATGTCTGTATCATTTGTGTGCCTGGCACCTGTGGGCTAGAAGAGGGTGTCAAATCCCCTGGAATTGGAGTTACAGATGTTTGTGAGCTGTGATGTTGGTGCTGAGAACTGAACCTGAGTCCCCTGTAAGAGCAACAAGCCCTATATTGAACCAATTGTCCAGTCTAATAGCCTCTGTTTCTTAATAATACAGATTAAGTCATCTAGCCCTTTAGAGCCTGATTCCCCCATTTAATAATGGGGAAAATATAGCTGTCTCCTTGGGAAGTTACAGAGAATAAATGTTGATACACGTATGAGAGTCATAAGCTGCAGCTTACCAACCTGACACTTCTGGCTTGGGGATTGTTGAATACTTTGATGGTAACTGGCGATCTGTGATACTCTCCTCTGTAAAATGTGCTGAGGTCATTTTTCTTCAGTAAAGTCCATGGAGAGCTGGTAAGATGTTCCTTCTCAATCTCCTTGATTTTTTCCTGTGGGTTCTTCTGTGTGGGTTGTAGTGAGCCTGAGACAGAGGAGACAAAAAGTCAGTGTGCTAAAGGTGTAGTCAGGGAAGTGGCCTCTTTGTGATGTGACGGGGGTGGTGGTGCTCCACACCATGAACCAAAACTGGTCCTGGCTAGAGCTTCCAGTGGACTCAACTCCGGGTAGAAGGTCCTCTGTGTCTGCGGTACGTGTAGAGACACATGTGAGGTTGGTAGTGTTGTTTTGTGTACTTCATTGACCTCCTCTTCCAATCTATTTTTTTTTCTTATGATTGAACCAAGGAACTTGTGTGTGCTTGGTGAGTGTTCTATTATTGAACTATGTCTCTAGCCTCCTTTTTCAATCTTGCCTGTCTTTCTGGTTTTAATGCCAGTCTCTTTTATCTTGGAGTTCTCCTTACTCCTGGTGCCACACATCTTAACACTAGGGACCTGGCATTATGTCCAGTCTTTTCAGACCAAATAGAGAGACAGTTCAAGCTCAGCAACTATACTGCTGTCAGTTGTGTGACTGTTCCCTCCTAGACTGATGCATTTTCTTCCTCAGAAGTTCGTGGAGTTCATAGGAAACTTACAAGACTGAGGAAGTTCTAGAAACGTACAGGGCTCACAGCAGTCTCTTGCTTAGTAAATCATTGCTGGGTGAGAGGAGACCCTTGTAGGAGACCAGCTATCCAGCTTTCCTAAGTTATTGCTCATGTAACTTGTGTGTGTGTGTGTGTGGGTGTGGGGTTTAGGTCATTCAAGTGCCCAAGATCATCATTCTCTCATAAGCAGCTCCTCACCCATGCTCCTGCAAGTAATGGTAATACTTTGGTTCATCAAGATAGACTTGGACAAATCGTTCTTTCATCTGAGGGCCAGCTAGGTTTATGGCAACTTGACACAAGCTAGTCATTTTGAAGGAAGGAACCTCAGTTGAGGAAATGCCCATACCAGATTGGCCTAATTTCTTGATTGACAATTGATGTGGGAAGCTCCAGTTCACTGTGGGTAGTGCCACTCCTGGACTGGTGGTCTTAGGTGTTATAAGAAAGCAGGCTGAACAAGCTATGAGGAGCAAGCCAGTAGGTAGCACTCCTCCATTACTTCAGTTTCTCCATTACTTCAGTTTCTGCCTCCAGATTCCTGTTTTGAATTCCGGCCTTGACTTCCCTTAGTGATGGAATGTGACCTGAGAGTAGTAAGCTAAAAAAAAAAAAAAAAAAATCCCTCTCCATATCCCCAAACCTGTGAGCAGAGAAAACGGAACAGGGCAGGAGCAGAGTAGGCTGGAGTTCCTAGCAAACAGATAACTTCTAATTCGGGAGCATCCACTGCAACAGAGCATGTGACAACTTACACTGTTTCAGAGTTTCCTTGATTTCTTCCACGTCAATGCTCACCTTCATCCAGAGAGCTTGCAGATTTTCTGTTCTTTGCTTAAAGATACAAGCCCTAAACAAAAAGTATATGTGCATCAAAACAAAAATGCTAATTAAAATCACCAAGGTGTCAGATTTTAACTCTAAATAATCATATGGCAGGAAATACTACCGTTAATACTCATTTTTCTATTTTCAAATGCATAGGAAATGCCCTGAAGTCTGGCTGTGTGGATCTCTTTGATCATTGCCTTCAACTCAGTGATTACCCATGTAATTTCATTACTGGGACTATATCCTAAAGTTATTCTGAAACACACACAAAGATGCTCATTTATGAAATTATAACAGTGAACAATTGGCTATAATTTGCATGTTCAATATATCTGGTCCATATATACCAAGGAATACTAGAGAAACCTATGGAAATTTATTTGGAAGAATACTCAAGATTATATATTGAGAAGAAGAATCAGAATACATACATGTAAATCTCCAGAGAGCAGGAAAAAGATAATACAGACTGTGTCTGAGATGTAAAAGAGGTCCCCTGAGGTCAAGGATGAGGGGAGGATTAACTCCTTATGCTGGGCCTTTCTGCCCACCCCTGCTCCCACCCCCAGAGGATCTCACTATGTAGCTCTGGCTGTCCTGAAGCTCATCATGTAGACCAGGATGGTCTTGAACTCACAGGGATTTCCTCCTGCCTCTGCCTCCCAAATGCTAAGATTAAAGGCATACACTTCTATACCCAGCTATTCTGGGCCTTTTAAAAATCTTTTGGGGGCTGGAGAGATGGCTCAGTGGTTGAGAGCATTGCCTGCCCTTCCAAAGGTCCTGAGTTCAATTCCCTGCAACCACATGGTGGCTCACAACCATCTGTAATGAGGTCTGGTGCCCCCTTCTGGCCTGCAGACATGCACACAAACAGAATATTGTATACATAATAAATAAATAAATGTTTAAAAAAATCTTTTGTATGTGGTGCCCTGTGAATGCATCACCCATACCGAAACATAAAGGGCAGAGCAGGATGTCAGTCCTGTCTTCCAGGTTAATGGCTTCCACATGGTTCCTGCCACCATGAAGGGCATTTTCTGATGATCAGAAAGGTTGGAAGTCAGTCCTGCCCTCTAGCTGAACCAACCTCTCTATACTACCATATGACCGCCCTCTCCAATCCCTGATTCTCTCTCTCTTTGATGGTGGGCATTTGAATGGATTACAGATGTCTTGGTTCTCTTATTACACAAAGAATTAATTTGCTTAAGATTCTCCTCACTTGTCCCACTTCGATGTTGTCTGCCAACTTGACTGAGCATGGATCATCACCCCCATATCAGAGCAATAGGACAGTTACTCCTCTGAGCTCGAGCATCTTAAGGGTGTGTCCACGTGTGCTTCTGTTCTGGTCTTGGCACTGTTACTGTGATGAATGCCGTGATCAGAAGTAACTTCCACTTCTTTAGCTTACCTATTACAGTCTCTCATCTAGAGAAGCCAGGGCAAGGAGCTCAAGGCAGGAACCCAGAGGCAGGAACTGCAGCGAAGACCATGGAGGAGCATGGCTTACTGACAGGCGTGCTTTCCATGACTTGTTTCGCTTGCTTTCTTGTACGGCCAGCACGACCAACCCAGGGGTAGCACTGCCCACAGTGCGTGAGGTGCTCCCGCATCAATCATTAGTGAAAAAAAATTCCTCACAGACTTGCCTACATGATGGAGCATTTTCTCAGTTGAAGGTCTCTCTTCCCAGATGACTGGAGGTCGTGTCAAGCGGACACTACCCGGCTCACCTCTTTGCTCCCTTTCTCTCTGCCCAACTCTCAGTATTGGGTTATAGACCCTCTAACTCCTGTGCTTTCTCTATCAAAGAATTCAGGCCATTCCCCCACACCCAAGTATCTTTTCTCTCGGACAGACCTGATAAGCCCCCTCCACCCTTGTAGCTCTAGGATACATTTATAGTCCTGCCTAGTCCATGCCTCCATGCCCCTTGGCACACAGTTAGGCCAGGCTATGTCTCGTGATACTATTGTGGGAACTCTCCTAGTGATCTCATAAAAGGCCGTATCATGGCTTTTAGGCAGAGGCTGCTTGTTCATTCCCGGCCACCCAGACCCAAAATAATCACACAGAAACTATATTAATTACAACACTGTTTGGCCAATAGCTTATGCATATTCCTAGCTAACCCTTACACCTTAAATTAACTCATTTCTATTAATTTGTGAATCACCACGAGGGTGTGGCCTACTGGTAAGGTTCTGGCTTTCCGGCATCTGTCTCCTTTGGCAGCTTTATGGTGTCTCTCTGACTCTGCCTACCTTCTCTCTATAACTTTGTTTGAACTTCCAGTCTGGCTTTACTCTAGTAAGCCATTGGCTGAAACAGTTTCTTTAATCACTAATGGTAATGAAAAATGGTAATAAAACATATTCATAGCACAGACCAACAGCTGTCTGTGGCCACCAGCCTGTAATTTGCCTGATAAAAAGTTAATCTTGACCGGGCGATGGTGGCACACGCCTTTAATCCCAGCACTCGGGAGGCAGAGGCAGGCGGATCTCTGTGAGTTCGAGACCAGCCTGGTCTACAGAGCTAGTTCCAGGACAGGCTCCAAAGCCACAGAGAAACCCTGTCTCGAAAAACCAAAAAAAAAAAAAAAAAAAAAAAAAAAAAAAGTTAATCTTGTATCAGTTTCTTTTCCTTTCCTACAAACCTCTTTTAACGCTTAGCTAACCATGTTTGTGACTCATATCACTGGGTCATCATAAGTCCAAGAAGCTCATGTTTGTTTCCTTGTTTCCCTTATCTTTCCTCTCCTGGTGGCCTAAGCTCAACTCTCACCCTCTACATGCAGGCTCGTCCGTGCCTCACTTCTTTAGAGCCTGGCTTTCCGTGACGTTCAAGGGGAGCCATTATTGCTCTAGCTATTGTTAACTCATCTACCCTCTAATGTGGTCTCCTAACTCAGTTCCTGCTTCCGTTCTGACTCTCAGGTAGGTTGAGTTATTGACTTCCAGGTAGTAGCTGGATACAGTCATAGCAACATAGAGGACGGACCGTATGCCTTTGTCTCTCCATGTTGAGCTTTACCAGATGGATGGCTATTTTTAGTGGATGTGCCGCAAGTAGAGGCTTGAAAGATTATAGCTCAGCTAGGTCTCGTTCCTGACATTCTGCCACAAGAGCAATCTCATCTCTGTATGAATTAGTCAAGGTGTACATGGAAATGTCTGTCTTGTCCATTCTTTCTGAATTCTTGTGTAGCATTACTCTACCTTGTGACTTTCAAGGGCTTCCGAGAAAGTTAGCTTCCTATCAGCAGACTTTACGCTCCATGAGTTTATCCCTAAGGTTTAGAACAGTATCGTGCATGCTGTACCCAATCCACATTTCCTTAGTTTGTTGATTTAATTCTTTTTACTGGACGATTTTCACTTCAAGAAAAAGAGTCCCATAGAAGCCAAGATGGTAAGATATGAATTAGAATTTCATATATTACATCAAAGAGCGAACAGAGAAGCAAAGGGGACTCATAAGCATGTAACAATGTGTCCCCTCCTCCACAAAGTCTTCCCCAGATTTCACTAGCCTCTATCATACAGCAGGATTTCTCAGTCACAAGTATATGCAACTGTTCAAACTCCTCCATGTTCCTCTTCTTTCTTTGACAAATCAAAGTGAGGCTAAGATGCTCCCTGGTTCCATCTGTTCCTCCACTTCATCCCCCAAACCCCATTTATTCTTTCCCGGTCTTTGGAATACTCACTCATCCTCTCTCGCATCCTGTTGATCTTCCTGCAGCCAGGATGCTTTTGAAGCAGAGCTCTGTTGACCAACCTGAAGCCACAGCATGATCTGCTCCCAGACATCTCTCAGCTTCTCATTTACTTCAAGGAAGAGTATCTTGTCATTGCCCGCAGTTACAAACTTCCAAATACTGGACTTCTTGTTGAACTTTTCTATCTGCTGCATAGCCTCCTGCAGGGCAGTCTCAAACTTGTCCAGGGTTTCAGTTATGTTCTCTGGCAGATTGTTTGTTCCTTGATCCTGGAGCCTCTGGAGAGGCTGTAGCAAGCCATGCACACGCTCCTTCAGACGCTTGCACTGCTTCTGGCAGTGGTTCATTTCTTCACACTTTTTATAGATGAGCTGGCCTAAGGAGATAATCTGTCCCAATTTATCCATACCTGGAAGAGACCCACAGATTGGCTGAAATCCCACAATCCTGGGTGTATTTATTACTCAGCTAATTGAGGGTCAAGGGTATCTATGATTTCAGTGCCAGAAAGGGGATGCCTCCGCCACGTAAGGCAGAGAGAGCTTGCTGTCTGCCAAATCTATTCTGTCCTTGTAATAGAGCCTGAACTGGGAAGTATTGGTCAGCTAGCACTATATCCTCAACCTCTTGCCACTCTGAGAGGCCTTGTGGTTAGCACCTAACTATGGGTCGTGAGTGGATGGGATCTGTGCTACTTTAGGATGAGACAGGTTTGCAAGGATAGGGTTTCAGGGATACTGGTACCCTAAGGAAAAGATCCTGGGTTCCTGAATAGTTGCTTTTGGAGGAAAGCTGCCATTGTTGCCAGAATTTCTGCTATGAACTGTGTGATTTAAGATGCAGTTTCAGCTGTATGGGAGCCATTATATTTTTGGGTATTTTGGTCATATTATCTAGCTTATAACACAGATGTTCTTTGGAAGTATTAGAAATACCTTCAGGGGCCAAGCAGGCAGCCCAAACCAGTGGAGTGAGTTGCCTTAGAACAGTGCTGCAAAGGAGTATACTTCCAGGCAGATGTGCTGCTGCTGAAATCCCAGCACCCAGGAGGCTGAAGCAGAAGGACCACGAGTTCACAGCCAACCCCAGCTACCTTCTGTCTCCAAGAAAACCCAAAGCTGAGATTATAGCGCCATGGTAGAGTGTTTGGCGAGCCTTGGCTAAGGCTCTGAGTGTGCAGAAGAGAAGAGAAGCTCCTGGGGCCAGAGAGGTGCCTCAGTGGGTAAGAGCACGTGCTGCTCTTTCAGAGGAAATTCAGTGCCCTCTTCTGACCTCTGCAGGCACCAGGCATGCCCATGGTGCACATGTGTGCATACACACACATACAGGCAAAACATTCACACACAAGAAATAATACGATAAATCTAAAAAAATAAACCTGAAAGGCTTCCTTTTAGTTTCTGTGACGTGGCCCTTCGGTTTATCTTTCACTTCTCCATTTTTGTTTTGTTTTGAGACAGGCTCTTGATCTGTATCTCAGAATGACCTCGCCACCCTCGACTTCATTATCCTGGTGCCTCTCTGTTTCAGACACATGGAAGAGTCCAACCAGTCACATCCTCTCTTCAAATCCTGTAGAAAAAAGGCCCACACTGGCCCTTGGGTTCATGGTCGAGGAAACCACTCCAGCTTCATCTAAACACACTCCAGCTTCATCTAAACACACGCAGAGGTTACTCAGCAGGTTGACCCCTGCTATTCTGCAAGGACAAAGGGTCTCTCAGTTTCACCTGAGCAGCCAGGAATCTGGACTTTCACGTCAGACCTCCTGATTTTAAATTTTGCAAGGAAGTCAAAGAGTGTTTCCTTTCAGTCCATAAAGTGTTTGCTGAACAAACTTGAAGGTCTGAGCTTGGCTCCCCAACACTAGTGTAAAAGTCCGGGTATGGCCTTTAAAACACGAGTCAAAAAGTGAACCCAGGGCCGGGAGTGGTGACGCACGCCTTTAATCCTAGCACTCGGGAGGCAGAGGTAGGCAGATCTCTGTTAGTTCGAGGCCAGCCTGGTCTACAAGAGCTAGTTCCAGGACTGGAACCAAAAGCTACGGAGAAACCCTGCCTTGAAAATTCAAAGAAAAAAAAAAGTGAACCCAAATTGTCAAACTGAAACTAAGTACGTGGCAATCCACGGGTTTTTGTTTTCCTTGCTCACTGAATTCCACTGAACTGGGCAGGAGGCACGGGTGTTAACATCAGGGTACTCTTTACATCTGAGCCATCGCTACAGACTGTCAGGGCACTCTTAAAGAAAATTAGTAGATCTCAGGGCCCAGCCATTCCCAGATGCAGAACACATTGCCTTCACAACTTTTCCTTAGATGCATGAGAGCAAAGGGGAAAAATCTGGAAGTAGTAATAACAATTTACTCTAAGCCTGACCATCCCCCACTAAAAAAGTATCAGACATATCTGGGCTTGGGGGCACATAACTTTAAATTCAATACTTGGGGGGCACAGAGAGATGTCTCTATGCATTCAAGGCCAGCCTGGACCACACAGTGAGTTCCAGGGCAGCCATAGCTACACGGTGAGACCTTGTCTTAATAAATAAATTAACAGTCTGAAAAACAGACTTCCCTTTACAAACATTACATCAGATTACTTTATCCTTGCATGAAATGGGCCCTAGAAAAGGAAGTGGGCATTCATATTTAAAGACTGGAATCCCGTTTGGGGTGGGGGGTGAGGGTGGTGGTAGTGCCTGCCTTTAATCTCAGAGGCTGAGGCAGGCAGATTCCTGTGAGTCCAAGGCCAACCTGGTCTACAAAGTAAGTTCCAGGATGGCCAGGACTATACAGGGAAACCCTGTCTCTAAAAACAAACAAAAACAAAACAAAAAAGAAAAAAAAAGGAAAAAAAAACCCAAACAAAACAAAAAACCTGAATCGTCTGTCCTGGAAATAGATTGTCCTATCGAGTACCCACCTACTCAGCACCTCTGGGCAGGGTCCCTACCTTTTTCCTCTTCTCAAACCCCGTTCCTCGAGCTCCGTCCTGCTTTGACAGAAGGCAAGCAAAGATCTTTGCAGACAGACAGCCCCTCCAACAGAGTCAGGGAATCGAAACCAACTCACCCCTGAATTCCAGGAAGTCAAATCTGTGATTCTGCGGTTTTCCCCGCTTCCTCCAGCCGCGGCTCCTAGTTCACTCGACCCTGCGGGCTCACCCTGGTGATCGCAGGGTCGATTGTCCCCTCTGTCCTACGCGCAATTGCAGTAGGATCAGTCTCCCGCTGCTCCCGGACCACGGTCTTCTGCCCAGCAGAGAATGCACCCTAGTCCGGAGCAGTTCTCCGGTCTCCAGAGCCCCTTCCCTCGGTGCGGTGCAGCCTGAGCGCTCCCGGTGCCTCCGAGGGACTCGCACAAACCGCTGTTCCCGCCGAAAGTCAAAGCTGGGGCGACGCAATCATGTCACAGCGGAGTCCTCCCAACCAACCTGTTGGACAGCTATTTCTGTCCAGAGTCCTCCTCCGGAAACCGGTGCGGGATTGATACTCCTCCCCCAGGTTCCTCTGTGACTTTTGCTGGTGTTCTGCCAGCTTCCTACACCCGCTTTCTGGACAGCTCCCAGTTGAAGCGCCTACCTGACTTGGGTCCTTTCTCCTAATCCGTTAAAAGGCAACTCTGAGTACTCCCAGGTCCTCTGCTTGGGCCTCAAATTTAGGGTTTGGAAAATTAAGATTACAGGGAGCCCTGATAACCAATGTATGGGATGGCCTGGAAGTCCAGCAAAATAGAAATTAAAAAGAGAGGCTGATGGGATGGCTCAGTGAGCCTGATGACAGGGTGGAAAGAACCGACTGCTCCAAGTTGTCCTCTGACCTCCGCATGTGCACAGGCCCTGGCACACAAATGCTCGCGCGCGCACGCACACACCAAACGCAGCAAATAAAAATGGGAATAAGCCCTAGAAATATGGAGGAGGTTCCTACATGTGCTTTGTGCTGGACAATCCTGGGGCAGGAGATGGGGAGTGGTGGCAGTTGGGTAAGGGAACGGGAGGCTTCCCAAGCAGGGGGAAGTCACTTCCTTTTTTCTCTAAGGTGATCTCAAAACTTGGCTATGGTTTGAGTTGAGTTTTATTAAAGTCAGTTATATCCTCAGTTAGCTGGTATAAGAAATGCCATTCACTACTAAGGCTAGATAGCCGGGAAAGACTAGAAATGAATCGTGTGGTGTCTTAGTTAGGGTTTTTATTGCTGTCAAGAGACACCGTAGCTACGGCAACTCTTATAAGAAAAACATTTCATGGGGGCCTCGCTTGCAGCTTCAGAGGTTCAGTCCGTTATCATCATGCCGGGGAGCGCGGCAGCGTGCAGGCAGATGTGATGCTGGAGCAGCAGAGAGGCCTAAGTCTTGTGGGCAATAGGAAGTCGACTGGCAGTCACACAGAGGGAACCCTGAGCAGAAGAGACCCCCACAGTGACACACTTCCTCCAACAAGCCCACACCTCTTCATAGGGACACTCCCTTTGGGGGCCAATTTCTTTGAAGCCACCACATTCCATGCTCTGGGCCCCAAAGGTTTATAGCCATATCACAATGCAAAAAATGCATTCAGAGCCTAGTGGTGGTGGCGCACACCTTTAATCCTAGCACTCTGGAGGCAGAGGCAGGCGGATCACTGTGAGTTCGAGGCCTGCCTGGTCTGCAAGAGCTCTAGCTCCAAAACTACAGAGAAACCCTGTCTCAAAAAAAAAAAAAAAAAGAAAAAAAAAGCATTCAGTTCAACTTCAAAAGTCCCCATAGTGTAATAGTCTATAATAGTCTCAAGCTTGTTTCAAAGTCCAAAGTCTCTTCTGAGTTGCATGGCAATCTCTTAACTATCTCTTAACTGTAATTGTCCTGTAAAAAAAAAATCACATACCTTCCAACATACAATGGAACAGGATATACCTTACCATCTCAAAATGCAGGAAAGGGAACACAGTGAGGAAACACTGGACCAAAGTAAGATGGAAAACCAGCTGGGCAAACTCCAGACTCTGCATCTCCGTGGCTGACGTCACACACTCTTCAGACTCCAACTCCGTTCAGCTCTGCTGACTGCAGCACACTTCTTTCTCTTGGGCTGGCTCCACTCCCTGTTAGCAGCTCTCCTCACAGCTATCCCATGGCTCTGGCATCTCTAACATCTTGGGTTCTCCAAGGCAATCCAGACTCTCCAACCTCACAGCTTCACACAATGGCCTCTCTACTAGTCTTCCATTCAGGGCGACCCGTGATACATGCCTGGCCTCAGTGACTTTCTTTAGGTGAGGAGGCAAATTCAATAACATGTTTTTTTTTTTTCTATCCTTAATTCTAAAGCCAGAACCACATGGCCAGAGCTGCCAAGTTCTGTTGCTTACTGGGACTGGGACATGAACCCTCTTTCATTAACATCTTCACCAGCTTTCTGTCTTTCACTGCCTAAGCTTGGATGTCCTGAAACTTGCCCTGTAGACCAGGCTGGCCTCAAACTCAGAGATCTGCCAGTCTCTGTTTTCCCAATGCTTGGATTAAAGGTGTGTCCCATCATATCAGGTTCTAAGTTTTTGTTTAGTTTCACCCCACAAGTTGGAAACTTACCTGGATGGGATCTCGCCCTGAGGTCACCACTCCCTTTATTTCATTTCTTAATCCTTGGACACAGAATTTAGCTTCATCCCACATTTTGATATTCTTTTTCTCCTCAAAATTTACTTTTTGTAATTTACCCAGCTCAGCTTGCTCCTTATCATTATAAATCTTTATTAGAGTTAACACTAATAATCACATGACAGAATCTATATTAGGCTGTTTTGACATTTCTTCTGTCAACAGAGTTAACCCAAAACTTTCCACTTTAGCCTTAGGCAGACTCTTAGGATAAGGGCACAAGGCAGCCACTTTCTTCATCAAAATATCATGGGAATGATCTCTAGGCAGCATACTGAAATTCTTCTCTGAAACCTCTTGAGTGTGCTCCTGGTAGTGCAAGAAACCGTTGGTACTTCTGTTTCCTAAGCTCCTACTAGGATGGTTCATTATGCAGTGCTTAAAACATTCCACTGCTTTCATAGCCCAAAGTCCCAAAGTCCAAATCCCCCAAAGAAACACATGGTCAGGCCTATCCCAGCAGTACCCCAGTCCCTGGTACCAACTTCTTAGTTAGCGTTTCTATTGCTGTGAAGAAACACGAAGGCCATAGTAACTCTAATAAGAAAAGCATTTAATTGGGGTGCTCACTTACAGCTTCAGAGGTTCAGTCCATTATCATCACGATGAGGTGTGTGGTGACGTGCAGCAGACATCGTGCTGAAGGAGCTGAGAGTTCGACATCTTGTAGACAACTGGAAGTTGACTGATAGTCACCCTGAGGGAAGCTTGAGTGAAAAGGACCTCAAAGCCCACCCCCACAGTGACACACTTCCTCCAGCAAGGTCACACCTCTTAACAGTGCCACTCCCTCTAGAGCCTCTATGGGCAGATGTAGTTACTTTGGGGCCTATGTACTTGGAGGCTGCTTGCTTGTTCCTGGCTGCCCAGACCCGAAATAATCACACAGAAATTGTATTATTACAACACTGCTTGGCCTATTAGCCAATTAGTTTAGTTTTTCTGCTTAACTCTATTCTCCCCTGTCATAGGCCCAAGCAGCTTCTTTATTCCTTAAGCAATAAAAACAACACATATACAGAAGGACTTCCCACATCAGGCCTACACAGTTGGAGGCTGTCTGGGGGCTTAGTTTATTCATTTTCTCATTTATTTGATACTTTCTCATTTGTTGTCTCCCCACACACATTCCCCATAAGGTCTCAAGTAGTCCAGGCTGGCCTGGAACTCTTGATCCTTCAGTCTCTCCCTCATGGATTTTGGGATTACAGTATAACGTCACACTCATTTCATGTGCTGCTGTGGACTAACCCTTCACATGCTCCAGTAGACCATAGATTGGGTGGGACAACTTATTACTTTGGTTTTGTTCTTGCTTTTTAAATTTTGGGTTATTTTAATAGGGGTGTGGCTATCTCAAAGTGATTTTAGTTGGCATTTCCTTGGTGCCTAAAGATGCTAATATCTTTCATAGGCTTTTTGCCATAGTATTGCCTCTTTGGTGAATGTCTGTGTTTCTTGCCCATTTTCAGTTTTTTTTTTTTTTTTTTTTTTTTTTTTTTTTTTTTT